TGGGGGGTCATTCCATTTTCACATCTGGGGAACCTAACTTCTAACAGTGTCCAGTGGGGGTAAGATGCGTTTACGGGAGCTCGTGTCACGCTTAACCCTGCTCCGGTTCAATTTTAATAGGTGGGGCGTCACCTGAAACGTCTGAAAGGAAAATATATCCAAAACACGCGGCGCAGGGCTAGTACTTTGCAAATGAGTTATTGTTTATTTTCTTTTTTTTTGCATCATATATCAGGTTTTTTTTTGATAAGTTATTGGCAAAATTTTAAATGAAACTGTTTGCAAAAAAAATGTATGCCTTAATTTTCATTATTCAAGATAAAATAACAGCTGATATTGAGATCTATAATAAAATTTTCTTTAAATATTTTCTTATCTTTATCTTTAAAAGGAATTGAGTTATCGCCACAAACTCAAATTTTCTAATCCCTATATCTTTGCAACCTGATGGCGTATAACTTTGATATTTCAAACTTAGATAATTTGATCTAACAAAATTCATAGTTTGAAATATATAATGTTTGCGATATTGGATTGAAAAGATAAAGGGTATAGAAAATCGGCGTTTGTGGCAAATACTCAATTCCTTTACTGAGATTTTAAAGGTTTTTATGTGTTTAAGATCATCTGAGAAAAACCTGACTGAACACGACATCCTTAAAAGTGCATGACCCGTGAAAAACAATCGAATCGTATTTTCGTGATCTCTCATTTTAAAATTTTGTTTGTTTAACCTGAATTCCTTAACATACTCGTGAATAATTGTTAAAACCTTTTAATCAAATCATAGGAGGAACACAATTCAGAAGATAATTCCCCTACTCTCTCTTTCTATACCCCCTACTTTCCCCACCGTTGTTTTATCAAACTCAGGCTGAAACCTGAGATGGAAAGAAGATACAACATACTTGAAATAAACATTTTTCATTAAAATATGACACAGAGGAGAGTTATTCCCCCATTCTTTAGTTTTATGGTAAAATTTAGGGGAATTTTATTTTCTAATGATCTACTTATGTATTAATAATGTTGAATAATCGGTTTCCTCTACAGCAAGAGCAGAAAATAAAGAAATATTACGAGCAATTGTCTCCAACCAAACACGTCATTTTCAATTTAGCAAAAAAATATAAATTACTACATTTTAACAAATTTTTTCACCCTTTTCATCCAAGTCCAGAGATTACAGATAAAGAAATATCATTTTTGCTTGATCATCAGAGATCTAAAAAATAAAAGTAATTGTTTTATATGAATATGTTTTAAAAATCATGAAAGTATACCCCATTTTAAATTATTTGAAATGAAAATTATACTATGATAGTCTCGGATGAGTAACTGACAATGTTTTGCTTTAATTTTCTATCATTTTATCTTGTTCCTTGTCCAATATAAAAACCTGGAGACAAGTTATTTATCCGTGCCTCTCGGTGGAGAAACCCGATCCTAAAACGAATTCTTTTTGCAAATATAAAGTTTGTTTTTACAGTTCTGTTCTCAACATTAGCTTTATTAAATACGAGACACAAACATGTGCAACCGAGACAAATTTATATTTAAATAAGCTCACTCAAATTATGAAATACACATTAATATACAGGTCCAGAGGGTACGCTTTTATATTTTTGAGAGGGAAGATGCCATATGGGTTGACTCAGTGGTAATTTTTTTTGCGCTTTTTGGAAATCCAGCAGGTTTTACAAAGAACAATTTATCTCTTGNCCTCCCGACCCCCTAGCTGAAAAAAGCATTTGAACAATTCTTGTAATGTCAACTAAGAAAGTAACCTGAGGATAATTTATTTTTATATTTAACTTCAGGACACAGTCACAGAAACTCAATTATAGAAGTATTTAGTACAAGTGGACGAATTATTTATATCTTGAAAAAGTGCCCACAAGTTCAGCAGGATGAAGTCGTTCTACGTCAGGAAGAATCTTGGGTTTCTTAAAAACCTCTCTGTATTTGTCTGCTACTTTGTCGAAGAGTATCTCTAGACCTACCATGGCCATGAACATACCGCCAACCATGAATGCAACTCCGACCTAGTAACCAAGAGTAAATTTCATTTAGAAGGACAAAAGTTTTCGTTCTGAACAAAGTGAAATACTAAAATGCTGAAATTGTTTTTTTTAAATAAACTAATTTAGAAAGATAGAAAGAAATAATAAGGACAAAACCAAAACCGTAGGTTTTTTAATATAAAGCAAAAACTTAAAAAAATGAAGATATCAAGCATTGATCCTCAAATTAAAACTGCCCGCAGTGGATATCGAGATCAAGGGATTGGGACAAGGGTGTCCAAAAAAACTCCCAAGTAACTTCTGAATCATTCGATTATTTTGTAGCATCTTTAAAACAACAAATAAGGATTGTATTATTTGTTACTTTTCCATACATTTTCCATACATTTCCATACATTTTCCATACATTTTCCATACATTTTCCATACATTTTCCATACATTGTTCAATTTAAAATTTGGAATAAAACAAAAATGAAATGATTAATGAGAAAATTTTAAAGCAAAATAAATATAAACGAATCAGAAAGAAATTAAAAATTAAGTTGTAGAGAAATAAATCTAACTTACAATTATTCCAAACTCAAGCATTGCTCTAGCAGACTCCTGAGCAAAGGAGGGTTTTGGAGTAGTAGAAAGAGGCATTCTTGGTGGTATGGCGGTTGTCTTCCACTGCTGTTGATTAAAATCGATTCCATATCCCTGACCTCTCTGAGGATTTACTAGATTTGGATCTCCACTCTCTTTTATTGAACCCATGTCGGCCGTACTGCTGGTATCACTTTGAGAATCAGCTTGATCTGCATCTGATACATCTGCTACAACTATTGATGATATGAGAAGGAAGAAGAAAGCTACAAGGTCCAAATTTGTTTTAATCATAACGTCTCTTGTATTATTCCATGGTGGCCATTAATATTGTGAGAGTTCATGAATGGTAAATGTTGTTCAACTGAAAATTAATCAAAATGCTCCGTTTTCTAACTTATATCTTGCGAGTTTTCATTCTCAATATGAACACAGGTATGATGAAATCTAGGACCAGGTCCTAAGAAGGTTTCATTTATTATCGGTTTCGGTATAAATTATGATAAAAAAACTGTTCATATCAGAGTGTTTTTTTTTCTCTACATTCAATATATTAATATATATTATGTGTAGAACAGATATAGGAACAGAATGCCCAGAAAGACTGTGCCTGTTTTGACCAGCTGCTAAATATAAGCACAGTCTAAGAAAGTGTCCAGCAGCTCAGGTTTAGTTGTCAGGAATATGTTTAGTTTTAGTTGATTGCATACAACGAATTATATGTTCTTTTATTGTTATTTTTTTATGTAGAAATTTTTTTTTTTAAGCAAGTTCTATTTCGTATTTTCAAATATAAATTTATGTTAATTTAGAAAGGAATATTATCTGAGGCTGTTAAGGAGACCTTGTTTTTTTCTGCCAACTTTACTGTCGGAACAATCCGGATTTTTCAAATATATTCTAGATAAATGAATTTGATGTAAAATGTATTGTTTAATACCTTGATTCCTCTATCTGCAATGGAAATGAATTATGACTACAAGGTGTGACGTGTTTATAGTATGGTGTGTCTCTCATATTATGATTTTAGAATTATAAGATCATCATATTGACCTCACCTTTTATAGTTCAGACTATTCTTAGTTTGAAATATCAAGGTCCCAACATCAGGTTGGAAAGATATCATATAAATTATAGTTTTTAGCGAGTGTTCACTGTTCAGTTCCTTTTTTATTTTTCCGGTGAAAATAATAAATATTTTTCCGCTTCACACACAGAAACACACGCATGAAAAATCAAAGGAATCGAGTCTTGGCCACAAATCCTAATTTTTCTAATCTCCATATCTTTGCAACCTGATGGTGCACACCTTTTATATTTCAAACTTAGATTATTTGATCTAACAATATTAATAGTTTGAAATATCAAAGGTCTACGACATTGAGTTGCAAAGATACAGGGATTAGAAATTCAGAGTTTGTGACAAAGACTCAATTCCTTGGACCTATTTTGTTTTTGTTTTTAACATCCAAGTATTTATGTAAAAAACTATTTTCAAACTTTAACTATTTAATTTAACAGAATTCATTGTTTGAAATATTTAAGGTTTACGACATTGGGTTGCAAAATAAATTTAATTAGAGGCTTAAGTTCTAAATAAATATTTTCATGATGTACTTGAATGCTTTCATATTTGAAAATTTATTATTTTCAATTGTGGTTCCTTTATACACTATACATTTCTTCTTCAGAAACAATGGAGAAAAATGTCAGAATTTAACACTTGTCAGACTAGAAAACCTTAAACCTTCTCTTATATGGGGTAATCCAATTTTGCTCAAAAATGTTTGCGCCCGATCGGTTTCGCCATATTCGACGTTTATAGGATACATTCAAATAAACAAACAGACAAGCAAAGCGGAAAAATATTTCCAAGGGGAATGGAAATGCATTGAGAGGAACTACCTAATGAGCACCTACTGCCCCCCCCCCCCCTAGTACGGACCTGAATTATTTAACGTTACATTTTTTTGCCAATAAAATCACAGAGATGGATATAGCTCGATGCACACTGGAAACTAGACAGAAGGAGAAGGTAAAATGTATATGACATCATTGGTACAACTTTGTGACCTTGTAACTCCTCTTGTTTTGACTTTACGCATAAATATGAGATAAGAAAATTTAATCAGTTACATATCATGAATTCAAAACATGTTTGTTCTTCATCATAGATCTTCTATAAAGGTAATTATGATTGAAAACATACAAGACTTCAATCTTGATTTCAATTTACTTTAGTTTGACGCGGCAGCCGAAAAGTTCTAAAAGATCTACTGAATATCGGATATTAAAACCTCTTTGCGGGTTTGTTTAACATTTTGTTTAGTTTTTTGTATGAAAAATCTTCATGTTAAAGTGTTTTAAATCATGATGCTGTAGCAGCAATAATTCGAGTCTAAATGAAACTTAAGAATGCTCGAGAATTATGAGGAAAATTCGGGAACATGAAAAACCGGAATCCAGGAACCAGTCAAACACGAGAACATGTACTTCTGGATATTAATATATGTTTATTTACCTATTTAGAATAAACCATAATGTATACTTGTTCTTACTCTAAAGTGGTGACCCCAGACAACAACTGAGCCATGGCCAAAAAACGCAGCCTCCTACCTGGAAACAGCTCAAGATTTGGCCAAACAAGCAACTCAGATCAACTTCGCCCTATGGAACAGCCTTCAAAAGCAACCTATTTCCAATGACTTCTCAAATGATTCCATATCAGTCTCAACCTCCAATGGATCTAGAGACTTGGGGGGACCTATGTAGCAGCAATAATTCGAGTCTAAATGAAACTTAAGAATGCTCTAGAATTATGAGGAAAATCCGGGAACAGGAAAAACCGGAATCCAGGAACCAGTCAGTCTCCTTCCTCAAACACGAGAACATGTACTCCTGGATATTGATATATGTTTATTTACCTATTTAGAATAAACCATAATGTGTACTTGTTCTTACTCTAAAATGCACTATTTATTGAGGTTGGTATCACAAGACTGACTAATTTATTCGAAACCTTAAGCTCTGCGGATCAAGTGGGAAATGTTGTTTGAAAACTATACGTTAAAGATAATAACCACTTACCAGCAGGAATTTCATAACCTGATAATAACAACTATTACATCTAATTCAAACAAAAGCTGCACTTTCGAAATTTAGGCTTTAACGAGTGTAACTGACCTGAGAACTGAGAGGTCTTCTTAAATATAAAATGATTGAGCTCATCAGGCCTTCTAGATTCACAAACTGAATTATCTTCAACAGAATTCGTTTTCTCTGTCTCTCCTACATTGTTCTCATAAGGGTCTTGGATATTGTTTGATAGAAGTGATTGTATATCATTGTATTGAACGTGTTTAACACCCTGAGTATGTAAGTTTGCATCACCATTTTTATCAAAGAATCTTTGAGGTTGAAAGATATCACAATTTGTTTCTTTTGGTTGAGATAACTCTTTTTTAACTGTTTGAATAACTGGCGCAGAAGTAAATAAAAAACACCCTTGCCCTTCTTCATCCAGCAAGGATTCTAAATTTATTTGTGACTTGGAGGGCTGATTAGAACCCGGATACGAATAACTGTTTGAAGAAAAGAGCTGAGAGTTGATACCCTTGGAATAATCTTCTCTTGGAACATCATATTTTTGTGAAACAGTTCTAACAACAGCTAACATTACCGGACAGTCTTCAACGTTATCAATTCCAAGATTTTGCTTGAGAGGCTTGTCTTTTTTTGTGTTATATTCATTTTTTTCCTCAGAGTTACAAAGTGGAGAATACACTGTATCTTTGGCTTTGACATATAAAAATTCCTCTGATTCCTTTGTTACAGAGGGAGAGAAAGTTCTTGTGCTAGACCGAATCGGGGTTGGCTTCACACATTCCTTGTTCAGGTCGTGGTTCAGCGTGGAAGATGAAAATATGTAAGATTCTGGAGATTGAAGATCTCCAACTATTAGCTTTATTTCTTCGTCTAGTGCGTCCAACTCATCATGGGAAGGAGAGGGTTCTGGGATTGGATTTTGGTTGCAGTACTCCTGAATGTGTTCATGAAGAGATCTATTATGAAAGCTCTGCGTAAAGGACGGAAGAGATAAACTCCTGTTCATTGATTCCGTCTCTTGAAAGTTGATCAACTTTGCAAGCTCTTTTCTAGCTTTGTCAATTTCTAAAACCGAATCCTTGCCTGGTTCAGGGCAATGATTAGTTGATGGAAGATCTATCCATGGTTGACTCTGAGCAGAGAGTAGTCCGCTGGACGGACTCCCCAAATAACCAGAATCCAAGTCTAGTGACTTTTGCTGCAAGCTGGCTTGCCGTCTTTTTGCACCGCTTGGCGAAGAGTTAAGGCAAGCCTGGTCTAACGAATGGGACCATTTTTGTGTTTTAAAAGCTGCTCTACGATTGGATACTGACAAATCTTGGAAATTCTTTGCGACTGAAATGTCTGAGTTAGAGCTGTTATTTGATTTAAAATAGAGGTTTGAAGAATTGGGACGAGAACAAGATTGAACAATGCTGTCAGCTCTTGACGATTGTCGGCTCCCTGTTGTTTCGCATCCAAGTATGAATGACCTTGAATACTTAGAAGGTCTAGGAGACAGAGGCGAATCTGGTATTGGAGATGTAATATTTATCCGTCTCTGAACACTGAGAGATTGAAGTTTATCATATCCTTCTTTTATTGGTCTGAATGTATTTTGAGGTATTTGTGTGTATTCCATTCTGTATAAATTATCACTGATAGGTTCGGCACACAATCACAGAATTAAAGTAAACAAACAAGTTTGCTTTTAAATTTTCTTTGTATTTAAAGATAACTCAACAGTCAACATGACGTTGAATGTGCTTCATAATACTTTAGCATTATTATAAACAAGATCCTTCTCTATTACTTCTGAATCATGTTTTAGTATTTATAACTTGCAAGTGTACGAAATGTACTCATTTTAGGCTCTTCTTCAACTGCATAACTTAATATATTGTCAAAGAGCATTATCATCCCACATTTAACTTCACAATTTCTTAATGTACTTCATAATGATGTTTTGACATTAGCAAACCCAACATGTACTCTTTAAAGGCGTTCACAGACTCCGCTTTCCGCCTCTGGCCCAGCTGAGTGTTGTGTAGTATGTGTATTTGTGTGCGAGTGTGTGTGTGCAATCTATTTGACTGTAAAACTGTCCGTCCTCGGACAGGCTACCGGACCGGTCAATTCACCAGTAAAATCTTCGGTCATATTTTTACCTACATCTGTCAATGATGTCATCAATAGTGATGCAATCCTTTTTGTTGACCTAAAAGAATAGATGTAAACCTGATTTTACTGATACAGTGGGACACATCAAATATTGGAATAGTAAACTCAAGGATGTAATGCAAGGAAAGTTTTTTCAGAAGTGTACGTATCTTTTGTACTGCAATGTACTGTCTCTGGGCGGTAATGTAAACACAAGACGGATGTTACAGCCTGACATGGGATCCATCTTTCACATAAAAAGATCAATGAAATATTCTGGTCACTCATAGGAAACTATTATGTGAATTATCAAAATTATCAAATTTAATGCTTTTAACCTCCTCGGATACTAAACAAACACTGATGCATCTATTCTTGTTTACAAATTCCGCCCAGAGAGAACTGGTTTCAATATGTACGCAGAGTATACACGACCGCAATTAACTTTCCTTGCATTGCACCCATGAGTAAACTCAAGTTATGATTTGAAATAATCCAATAATCATGAAACACAGCAAGTGTACTGTGAGCACTGTACACAGACCCATTTCACTGTTGATTTTCAAGTTATTGTCTTATTTCAAACAACATTTAACACACATAATATTACTTCTATTCCTCAGTTTTGTGAATGTATTTGATAACACTTGCGCGCATCATAACAATAGTACATCACAACTGAAGATACTGTTTTTATCTTTACAAATTATATTCGACTAAGCTTGTATTATCTTCCTTTCCATTCTTCACTTACCCTTTCATTCATTACCGTTTCTAGATTAGGAAACTCTTGCAGAAGAAATAATCTATGTATGCTACCCCAACCCGGGGGGGGGGGAGGGGGAGGGTAAAGTGTAACATTTTTATTTGTGTTACATCTCTCTAAATGTTTCGGTTTTGCAAGGTGCTTGGCCTTTCGGTGAATCTCGGAAAAACATCTAAGCTCGGCAGAAAACGACTTTCCCCGTCAAACCGATTATTTAGAAGGGTATACCCATATAATTGTTAAATTTCTTTATTTTTATTTTAACTCTCAAACTGTAACGGTTTGGTTGGCTATACTATAAGGAACAAACATACATACAATACATACATTCATCATTTATCAATTGTTGTCGGTTTGACTCACAAAAACAACTCCTTCCACTCTAGTTTGCAGAGTCCATTAGCGCCTGATCCAATCAGGGTTCACCCATGTGTTTGGTGTCTATTCTGAACCAATATAAATTGCATGGCTGTAAATATATCTTTCCATCTAGCTCATTAACCAATTAGAGATATCGGCGCTATGACAGTAAATGGAAATATTTACTTCCACTGAAACTATAGGCAGGGGCGTAAATAAGGATTCTGTAGGGGGGAAGGTAAAATTTATCTATGTTACTTTTTTTAAGTTGATTGAGTAAGATATCTGCGCGAAGCGCCAACATTTTTTGTACATTTTTCCTTTTAATGGTAATCATGGTAATTACCCCAAGGATTCTAGGGGGGGTAAGCAACCCCAATAACCCCCCTTATTTACGCCACTGACTATAGGCTTCATCTATCCTACATACTTTTATGATTATTATGTTCCTTTGATTTTTTACCAGACTTTATATAAACAACCAAGTCCTTTGTTTATATCAATGTATCATTTACTCTCAGACAAATTAGAATCAATGAAAATTGTTGCATACCAAAAACCAGCTTTTTATGAAGGAATGATCATTGCTCAAACAGAAAAAAAATAGGAAATTTTATTCATTTTGATTATTTTATTCATTATTTCATTTATTTAAATATAGATGAAATTGCAAAGATAAATTCTTATTTATTAATTAATTTTCAAACTTTTCATGTTGGCAAACTTCAAACTGACATAATTTAATTGATATCAGTGCATGCTGAAACACCTTCAAATGATTTCTATTGGAAACGTTAGATAGATTTTCTTTCGTTATGCCCTTTTTCTTATATTTCTTATCAAACAAACATTTGTCCAATTTTACTCATTAAAGGAATTGAGTCTTTGCCACAAACTCTGATTTTCTAATCGCTATATCTTAACAACCCAGTGTCGTAGACCTTAGATATTTCAAACTATTGATTTGGTTAAATCAAATGATCTAAGTTTGAAATATCAAAGGTTTACCTCTTCAGGTTGCAAAGATAATTTCATTAGAAAATTTGATTTTGTGGCAAAGACTCAATTCCTTTAAAAACGTATTTAAGTCAAATAATTTTGTATGTACACATATCATGCTTCATATTTTCTTAATTTTTTTCATTAAATATTTTCGACTTCATATGAATTGATTTTTTTATCCTCTAAGAAATGACTGCTGAACTCTATGAATGTGTTCTTCTAAAACTTGAGCAGTAAAATCAGCATCCTCTTTTGTAATACACATTGGAGGCTTCAAGCGAAATACGTTTCCGAAATGGCCACCTTTTCCTAAAATTGTTGTTTTTCATTATTTTTATGTCTTGACGTAGATGAAAATATGTTGAAATTTTCCAATCTGATTTTTACTGTACATAGCACACACTTACATACTTAACTTACACTTTTGGTTCTTAATGCAGACATAAGTAGGGAGAACTGTCATTTTTTTACTGCAGTACATACAGGGTTACCCACAAAGAGAATTAGATTGAATTCGTTTAATTATTTTTCAGACATTGATGCTTCCATTTAGCTTTAAACCGTTTGTTTTATTTCCCAAATAATTTTGTATATTTACTACAGACTGAGTTAAAGAGTTTCCGGATCGACGTCATTTAAGTTTCATCCTTTGTGGTTTACGCTGTATATACAAATGCTATCAAACTAAAGTCAGTGGTTGGTAAATGGTAAAAATAAGACTATTTTGGAATGGTAATGTTTCAATTTCTTCTGTTACTCCTTTTATTTTATGAAACTTTGGTAGCAGCGAATTCTTTCCATTAATAAGATGTTCTATAGTCAGTAGTTACCTATTAGAACTCCAGAGTTTTTGGTTCCGTCCCAGATATCCATCATAGCGGTTCCGTTAAGGGGTTTCTTAGACTCCTTATCTTCAACCATCTCCACCCCTATCATCAACCCTTTTCCTCTGACATCTCCAACAATAGCATATCTATAAAAACCTTGAATTAAAACGATTACGAAACATTCTCAGGGGTAACACAGGAATTTGTCCCGGGGGCTTACATTATTTTCTTTCCAGGGGGTCACAGCACTTGGTGGATCCAGGGAGCCCCTTGGAAACAAAACATTTTACTGATTTAAGGGGACCTAATAAAAGAAAAACTGTGCATTGATCTCTCTTAAAGGAATTGAGTCTTTGCCCCAAACTCTGATTTTCTAATCACTACATCTTTGGAACCAAATGTTGCAGACATTAGATATTTCAAACTATGAATTCTGTTAGATCAAATAATCTGAGTTTGAAATATCAAAGGTTTACAACATCGAGTTCTAAAGATATTGAGGTTTAAACATTTGATTTTGTTCCAAAGACTCAATTCCTTTGATGAACAAGTTAATTCTTCACCTGTCCACCAATTTTATTAGCTTCTCAAGTAGGTAGGTTCCTACTATTCTAGAGTTCTCCATAGTTTTATCTTTCTCCATAGCTTTAAGGACCGCCAACCCCACTGCTCCTGCCATAGGACTACCGCCGAATGTGTTAAAGTGGAGAGCCTAAAAGCAAATAAAGTGTTTGTTGAATTTCCTTCCTTTAAAATTAAAAAATGGATTTTGGTAATAACCCTGAAACGACCGGGGGGTGGAAGGGGCAGGGAAATGTTGTGCCGCTTTTTTATTTTTATTTTCCAGACAAACTATAAAATTACAAAATTTAGACTGACTAAAGTTTGACTGTAGACTTTTTAAAAAAAAATGGCATGTCCGATTCACGACAGTGCCCTTGAAACATCTGTCTGATTTAAATGAGAAAGATATCGTTGTTTTTAAACTATATTGCAAGCTGAGAATTTTGCTCCCTTATCATCATCATCAGAAATGGAAACTTTTCTAATTTGTAAAGTTTGGTGAAAACTATAAAATTACAAAATTTAGACTGACTAAAGTTTGACTGTAGACTTTTTAAAAAAAATGGCATGTCCAATTCACGACAGTACTCTTGAAACATCTGTCTGATTTAAATGAAAAAGATATAAATGTTTTTAAACTATATTGCAAGATGAGAATTTTGCTTCCTCATCATCATCATCAGAAATGGAAACTTTTCTAATTTTTTTTTGGTTTGGTGAAAAGGTTAAACTTTTTATAAGGAACTTATAGGACTAAATATGTTTATATTAATATTAAAGTAAAAATGAAGACACCCTGTAATTGCACGAGGTGGGAGTCTATAGGAAGACGCCTTTAGCCCTAAGACACATTTATACAAGAATTTCATATGATGCACGCATGAAATCAGGGGGATTCCGAACTTGTGAACGGTGTGCAAGGGGTGTGTGTGTGTGTGGGGGGGGTATTCAAATTCACCAATTTATACATTTACAAAACCCTAAGAGAGCAAACAAATCAGAATACGTTCTATGCAAATTATTTTTAAATTTTATTTTTGGAAGAGGTTTATAAATTAAATCGGTCTTGAGAATTTTTACATCTTTTTTCCTCTGAATTTATAGAATTGCCCTAATATGTGTACTTTGTTATCCATCTTGAACAATTTTATTGTCAAATTCTTCGCATAATCTCAAATGATTTCAACAAACAAACAAAACATGTAATGTACGTACATATACTGTAATGTACGTACATATATATGGTTACTACACAAAGAAAAAGTTAAACCTGGCTCATAGTGGCAGCTATCTCTGGAGTTGTGATTACAGCTCCTATTGGAAACCCGTTTCCTATTCCTTTCGCCATTGTCACGATATCAGGAACTACTCCATGGCCCTGAAGTTGAATCATTTGTCAAAAATATTGAGCAAAGTTTTAAATACACAATTTTTTCCTTGATTTCAATCAAGTATCTCCCATGCACTATAGTTAATGAAGTATAAAGGCTGGTATGATTTTCCACCTGCCCGCATTGTTAGTTTTTATTAAGAAAATATCTGATTTTATAATTCTTTGCAACCCAATGTTCTATCCCAGATATTTCAAACTATGAATTCTGTTAGATCAAACAATCTAAGTTTAAAATAATGTTGCATAAAAGTTGAGTTTGTGGAAAAGACTCATTTACTTTCTAAATAACATTGTCAAATGACTTTAAAAGATTAAGGGAAAATAAATATGTGATGAACGTAAGTTGTATCACCTGGAAACCCCAAAAATGTTCTCCAGTTCTCCCGAACCCTGTTTGCACCTCGTCAGAAACACACAGTCCACCCAGCTCGCGCACACGAGAGAAGGCGCGTTTCAAGTAACCCCTATATAGTTCAGAAATTACTATTTTCTTAGTAGCGTATACCTTCCTATTTAGCGATTAAATACCTCCTCGAAAGATCCATGTTTAATCACCCCCCCCCCCCCCCGGCCCCCTCCCATCCCATTTAAGGATGAATTCCAAGTTAAAAAAGTGCAATATAGATGTAACTCTACACAACCCCAATTATCTTCAATCCTTACACTACCGTCTGCAACTAGTGTTGTTGATTGTTTTGGTTCATTTTTTAACTTCAGACACTATATTCGCTTTAACATGTTCGTTTGGTGCGTTTTTTGCATATATTTTCTCTCAGTCAACATTTGGTATAGTTTAAAAAACACAAATGTTTAGAATAAAACAAGTTAAAAAAGATTTGCTTTTCTTTTACATTTTGACCCTGGAAGAAACTTAGAAAGCATATGCATAAAACTGACAAAACCTATCCAAAAAACGAATCAAAAAGGAACCAAAACCATTAACAACGCTACTGCACATTTCAATGGCACAAGAGGAATAAACTTGTTAAACACAAAGAATCTAAACTGGTTTTTAAACCGGTGTCAAATAAAATAAAATTAACTTTGATATAATGAAAATGCAATTCTCAACAAGAAGAAAAGCATAGAAACTAGTAATCACAACATTTATTGATAATTAGCTGGAAGGGGGTTGTCTGCTGCGCAGGTTTATATCTTATTACCCGCGCCTGGTATAACGAACAAAAATATATACATGGTGTCTCTAATAATGCTTTTTCAGGTACTGGAGCTATCATGATAGTTAAATTGTGGACATTTTCAAAATCTATGTAACATTTTAGATCGATGGACATTAATTAGAAATAAAAAGATAAAATTCTAAAAATTGAAATATTCAAAAAACGGATACTAAATATCCAAAAAGGATTAAAAATGGATATAAATGAATTTCACTGGTTCTTCGTGATATTTTTATCATATGTTTTTTAAAGGTCCTCATTGTTTGCGATACAGTTCGCAGCTTTAGCTCTTATATCGAATCTAGTGTCGCTCTTTTGTAATAAATGTCCACATCAACTGTAGCAATTTCCCTCTCGAATGCAACCTTTCATTAATTAAATTCCCTAGGTTTTGGGTTTAACCGTAGGATTCAAATAAAAAGTAAAAAATTTCAATTGAGCTAGGGGCTCAATTGAAATTGAAATCACAAAACACATTAAAAAAGAAGAAAATAACTCTACCAAGCCTAAATGGCAAATCCTAAAACTGTCATAACTTCCTCAATATTAGTGCTACAAACCTTTAGTTTGTGTCCATCCTATCGGAAATGTTACATCAATTTCGAAAACGTCCTAAAATGTTAAAATCTAACCATCATGAGAGCTCCACTATTTTAAAAAGCGTTGATTTTGGTAAACCCCCCCAAAAAAAAACACAATTTTGATCCCTCCTTGACTACCTCCAACTGTCTCCTCATCTTAACTTTTCTCACCTCCCCTGCTCCCTTAACCAACCCTTTATCAACATGTTTAACAGTCTTAGATTATACATATAATTCCTCAATCAACATTTTAAGGCAGTTTTTAAGGAGTTCTTGATCTTATTATAATCGGACATAAATGCTAACAAAACAAACAATATGTATTCAGAGAAAACTACTTTATGCAAATGAACGAAGAAAAAGATAAAGTACAATATTATTATCAAGAAAAGATGAATGTATAAAAATGATGCTTACTTTGGATATTGCACAGTCCCCCCTACTCCCTACAGAAACATACCAATCAACTATGCTGTCAGACAAATAGGCAAAATTAACCATGAAGAAAGTTTAGGTTTGGCTAATTCCTCACTAGCTTGTAATTATATTCAAATGAAAAGCATTTTATAATATTTAAATCAGACAGCTGATTAGTATTCCTGTATTGATTCCGCAAAAAAAGCCGCTACACTTCTTCCTTTAGGCAGAGAATATCTGATACTCAAAACATTATTAATTGGGAAGAAAAAAATTGTATTCTTGTAGTATACGAAATCATGATTTGTATTCTTGTAGTATACGAAATCATGATTTGCATTCTTGTAGTATACGAAATCATGATTTGTATTCTTGTAGTATACGAAATCATGATTTGTATTCTTGTAGTATACGAAATCATGATTTGTATTCTTGTAGTATACGAAATCATGATTTGTATTCTTGTAGTATACGAAATCATGATTTGTATTCTTGTAGTATACGAAATCATGATTTGTATTCTTGTAGTATACGAAATCATGATTTGTATTCTTGTAGTATACGAAATCATGATTTGTATTCTTGTAGTATACGAAATCATGATTTGTATTCTTGTAGTATACGAAATCATGANGGGGGGGGGGAGATCACATCAATGATATATATAAAGGAAAGAGTTTTTGCCACAAACTCTATTCTTTTATCCCCTATCTCTTTGCAACCCGATGTCGGTGACCTTTGATATTTCAAACTATGAATTCTGTTAGATCAAAAGGTCTAAGTTTAAAATTTCAAAAATACATCAGGTTGCAAAGATATAAAGGTATTACAAAATTTGTGGCAAAAACTCCTTTTTGAAAAATTTTAAACTGGTCTTGATGGTTTAAACCACTGAAATTCCAATCTTCGTGTATTTGATTCAACAAAATTTCACGAAATTCATAGTTTGCAATATCTAAGGACCTTTGCTTCAGGTTTCAACGATATAGAGATTAAAAAATTAGAATGTGAGGTGCTAAGACGTAATGTATTGTAGCAGAAATATTGCATATTTATTGCATAAATAGACGGCAGATTTTTCTTAACATCAAAATTGAGTGAACCTCCCTTTGGCAAAACTGGACAATCTCGACATCCGACGGTTCCCCAAAGACCCAGATATGGGTCAGGGTTCATCACATGGTGTACTCCCATACCTACATAGATACAGCGTTGCTTATCTATCTCTATATATAAAAATATATAGATATATATAGATAATTATATATATATATTGCTTGTTTGTCTGTTTACTCAGTATCCAATAAACGTCAATACGGCGGAACCGTACAAACCAGCCGTAGTTACAAAGGTTTTTAGCAATAGTTGGAGTCTAACGAGAAGGTTTTAAACCGGAGAGGGTCAATTATGCTAAGAAGGATTTAAATTTTATCCAAAGAAAAATTCTATAACAGTTTTTTTCCGTGTGCTTTTCACTCTGAGATCGGTTGTGTGGAGTATCCGCCATTTTGAATGTTTAATCTCGATTTATAATGTGGGCATTTTAGATTTGAGGATCATTGCTTGATCCGTTCATTTTAGTTATCTCATCAGGGTATAAACACCACGGGATATCGAAATCGAAGGGGAATTAAATTAACTCGTAAGTCTGCAAATTTCGATTGAGATTAATCCCGAGATTAGCAACACAAAAGATGACTAAGATGATGATTGATGATGATTTTAAAGATGACTATTTTTTTAAAAAGAAGAAGACCTGATTTTTATTTGTGATTTAGGTAACATTTTTTGGTTATTGTAAACATTACATATTTACCTGCAGGCACTGAATACTTCCATGTACTGTGTGCCGTCAGTCCCATAGTGTATGGAGACATCCCATGATAAGCATTTCTAACAAAACAAAAACAAAGATAGGTATTGATGTACGTATGGTAACAATTTTTAATACTACTTTTTTGGTTCACAGTGCTAAAAAACTTTATAACACATTGTGACAAAATAATTGTGTAAGTTTATGAAAAGTTTGTGTACATGGTTGATGCAATGGTTATTGCTAGATATAATAAGCTTTCTAAAACCAGAAATGAAAAATATAAATAAATTTAAATTTTATTTATAGATAGCTAATATAGCACGATGATTACTTTATGGCACGTTTATACTGAAATTGGCTATGAAGCGACTATAATGATAAAGTACACAATAGTTTCATAAAATAAAAAAACTCAGTCTGGCCTCCCTGTGTCTCTTACCCTTTCTAACTTGATGTCCCTACCTAGAAACAATCTATCTGAGTAAACAATAAGTTTTAACAACAAAAATTTGTTGTCATTATTTCATAACATTATCATTATCATCAAGATTGTTTTGTCGAGCATAAAACGCAGTCATTTTGATTTAATAAAAACAGTTTTATACTCTGTCATACCTGAATGCAAGAATATCATTATTTCCAGTATGAAGTCGGGCCATAAACATCGCTAAATCATTTGCCTCGCTTCCACTGTTAACAAAGTACGCAACCTAATGTAATATAATCAGTTTGAATTTTTGTTTAATATAGTTTCATACCTTGAGAGGCTCTGGCAACGTAGATACAAGTTTCTGTGCATATTCATGTATAGTCGGATGCATGTAGATATTAGTGGTGTGCCATAACCTACAAAAAATATTTGGTTCGTTTATTAAATAATAATAGAGAATAGCACATTGTTATAAGGCTGGACCTTTGTTTTACTAATTAATCTGAACTTTGTCTAAATTGGGAATTTTAAAATGTTTTATTTATCTGGAAATATAAGTTATCTCTCCAGCTCCTCAAACCGAGAGCTATTCATCTATCTAGGATAAATAAAACCACAACTTATATCGGATTATATCTCTATCTGGATATTTGGTAAAGATTATCTTACCATTCTATTTAGGAATATCTTAAACTTTTTTCTCAATAAGCAAGTCCCTTTTAATTTAGTGTCAGTTCCTTTAGAAAGCACTAATCGGTATTTTTTGTCGACAAATTGCACTCAATTCTTATTTTATATCAAATGTCACGAAAGATCTGCTCTTGACGAATAAAAGATGTATAAACGGATTAGGGTTTTGAATACTTCGGAATACTGGAGAACAATCTATCTGGAAATACAGCTGACCTATCTATCTGGAAATACAGCTGAAAAATTTATGTGGGAATACAGATGACCTATTTATATGGGAATACAGATAAATAATTTATCCAGAAACACAGTTAACGTATCTTTCTGAAAATAGAACTGAAGAATACTGCTGACAAATCTTGTAATAGAGCTTAATAATCTGTCTTTGTATACAGCTGAACAATCTATCTGAGAATACAGCTAAACAATCTGTCTGGGAATACAGCTGAACAATTTATCTGGGAATTCAGCTTAACAATCTATCTGTGAATACAGCTGAAAAATCTTGTAATAGAGCTTTATAATCTGTCTTTGTATACAGCTGAACAATCTATCTGGGAATACAGCTAAACAATCTGTCTGGGAATACAGCTGAACAAATTATCTGGGAATACAGTTGAACAATTTTCTGGGAATTCAGCTGAACAATCTATCTGTGAATACAGCTGAAAAATCTTGTAATAGAGCTGAAAAATCTATCTGGGAATACAGCTGAACAATCTATCTTGCAATACAGTTGAACAATTTTCTGGGAATTCAGCTGAACAATCTATCTGTGAATACAGCTGAAAAATCTTGTAAAAGAGCTTAATAATCTATCTTGGTATACGGCTGAACGATCTATATGGGAATACAGCTGAACAATCTATTTGGGAATAAAGATGAACAATCTATCTGGAAATTTACCTGAACAATATATCTGTGAATACAGCTGAAAAATCTATCTGGGAATTCAGCTGAACAATCTATCTGTGAATACAGCTAATAATCTTGTAATAGAGCTTAATAATCTTTCTTGGTATACAGCTAAACAATCTATCTGGGAATACAGCTGAACAATCTATCTGGGAATTCAGTTAAACAATCTATCTGGGAATACAGTTAAACAATCTATCTGGGAATTCAGTTAAACAATCTATCTGGGAATTCAGTTAAACAATCTATCTGGGAATGCAACTGAAAAATCTTGTAATAGAGCTTAATAGTCTATCTTGGTACACAGCTGAACAATCTATCTGGGAATACAGCTGAACAATCTATCTGGGAATACAGCTGAACAATCTATCTGGGAATTCAGCTGAAAAATCTATCTGTGAATACAGCTGAACAATCTTTCTGGGAATTCAGCTGAACAATCTATCTGTGAATACAGCTGAATAATCTATCTTGGTATACAGCTGAACAATCTATCTGGGAATGCAGCTGAACAATCTATCAAGGAATATAGTTTGTTCTGTGATCATCTATTTAGGATGTACCAATCTGTTGAGAATACAGTTGAACAACCAATCTATGAATATAGCTGACCAATATATGTTTATTTCTAATAATATCTAATTTTTTCCTCGTGAACCTAATAACATTGATTAGTTCTCTGCTTAGCATTCGAAAATTAATTATGAATTCAACCATATTAAAAACAAGTTATATTTTTATTATTATTTCATAGTCATCATTTTTAATAACTTGGGTTAACAAAGAGATTTCTGCATTTGAGTCAAAAAGTCGCCATGTAGAAATACATAAAGTAGCTAAGCTAACCTATCTATCTGGGAATGGAGTGCAGCAGTAACATCAGGATGACAATGCCCTATATTAGAGACGGGAACGGTTTATTGTGTTGTTAAGAGGAGAAAATAATAAGAAATATAAAATTCTGGCTTTCCTAGCAACCTTTTTTAAAAGGACATTTTTTCTTCGTATTTGTAAACTAATAATTTATTTTAAAGAGTCGACATTTTTTTCAGGCATCACTTTTCACTTTTAAGCGTCCATAAAATTTCCCTGTGGTCGTTTGAGTTGCCAAAAAAAACTGGCCAGATCGGTTCAGCCGTATCGAAGTTTATTTGAAACAGACAAACAAGCCAAATCTATAAATTGAAAACTAGTATGAGGCAAATTATCGATTATGACCATCAATATTTTATTATGACAAATAATGGAATAAAAGTTTGTAATTCTTTTTAAGTTTTGAGGCTAAAAAGTAAAGGAATTAACTTTTTGCAACAAACTCTGATTTTCTAATCCCTATATTTTTGTATTCCAACGTCGTAAACCTTTGAAATTTCAAACTATGACTTATGTTAGATCAAAAAATATAAGTTTGAAATATCAAAGGTTTACGACATTGGGTTCCAAAGATATTGGGATTAGAAAATTAGAGTTTGTGGCAAAGAGTCAAGTTCTTTTCCTATCAAAATCGAACGCTAATTTTATCTTATTGTTTGTATTTCTTCCTTGAATTATAGCTTTTTTATTGTTATTAAAAACTATGCCCGACCCTACCTACAGAAACTGTAACAATCCCAGCAAACATATCTAGATACTTCTTTCCATCATGATCCCACAACCATTGCATCTTTCCCTGAAGATTTTAAAATCATTTCTAGCAACTTTATGTTACATGAATGTATATTACTAGCCTTAGAGGGCGCTTCGCGCCCATCTTCTAAATTAAGTGTGAACATGTTCTCTTTGTGTACACTGTACATCGTAAAACAAAACAAAAATATTTCGCGGATTTTCACAAAAAATTTCGTGGATTTTCAAAATTTTCAAAAATTTAATGAAGATCGAATTTTGATGGAGACAAATATTTGAAATCATTCATAAACCTTCCCTGGGGTCCCTAGATGTCCCACAAAAAATTTGGGCCCGATCGGTTCAGCCGTTTTGACGTTTATTGGATACAAACAAACAAACAGACAAGCCAAATTTATATATAGATATAACTTCGACAAACCTGATGTATGAGAAGAGGTTCAGTATAGTAGGTTGTCATGGCAGGAGACAGGTTTGCCTTTCTATTAAGTATATGACGTTTAACGTTAATTAATGAAAAGTACTGGGGGTAGGGTCATAGAGGGTCATGATTTTAATCAGCAAGAGAGTGCATAATTCATAATTCATAATGCAATAAATAGGGATTAGAAAATTTGAGGTTGTGACAAAGACTAATAATTCCTAAAACGAAAAACTAACTACAACGAAGTTTAACACATATTTTCTGTTAAAATTTTATCTCTAATTCAAAATCCGCCAAAGATCAAGCTTAAAAGTCTTTATATACATTTCATTTATAATATATAGTCAAAAAAACACATAAAATATTAGAAATTAAACTTCTCCATTAGAAGGGAACAGATGTATAATCAGCTAAAAATAAGATACAACCGTCAGAGAAAAATTCACTGCTCTTTTTAAAATTTGTTAAAAAAAATTTAAATTCAAAAATATTTGTAAAAAAAAGGGTAAATCTTTTTAGAAAATTCTTTCCCAAAGGTTTAAAAGCATTATAAGACATGGAAAGGGGAGAAAAGTAGGAAAAAATAATTGTTTTCCCTACTTTTATTTTATTTTACTTAAAACAAACACAAATGATGCCCATATGCTAAACTTCATTAAGATTGCTAAACAAATGAAGACCCCCAGATGTAAGTAAATTGGTCAAATTAACTGATTGCAGCGTATTTAAACTCAAACTCCTTGATTATGTAAAATTATTACAAACAAGAGAAATAAATGACTCTTATTTATACTTTACCTGATATTTTTTGTTTCTTGATACCCATATCCCTGATAGGGAAGAGGATTTGAGCTTGTAAACCTTTTATTTTCAACCAAGACTCTAGACCTCTGTTTAAACAGTCTGACAGGAAAACTTAGGGAAAAAAATTATTTAAATAACATCTAGACCAATTCTGTCGGCCGGCTAACACTATTTTTGTACTGACAAAGAAAACAAACAACAATTAAAACCAGGGGCGTATTTAGATGTTTGTCCAGGGGGGGGGGCTTAAATTTTTCTTTCCAGTGGCTAAGCACATGAAACCCCCCTAAAAACCATAGATTTCACTAGTTTAAGGGGGGGGCTGAGCCCCAATAGCCCCCTCTGATTAAAACCCCTTCCCATAGTTTTAATGGGTTCTCAAAATGGCAGATCATTAGAGTCAATTAACAGGAAAATAACTCTTCTAAAAATATTTGTTAAATTTTTACATGAAAAGCATGCATTATTGGTTCAATGTAACAAACGCAAATATTTTCCTTAATGCTTAAATTAAGGATAATATAGAGGAAACGCAAAGTATTCCTTTATTTTTTACCTGTTGACACTATAACGTTTCATGTTGATACAGTTCTCAACAAGGAACTGGATAAACTGGAATTAAATCTAGTCAACTCCAAGAACAAAGTCTAATGAAACTCATTATATTCAAAGTCCGGTTTTATCACATTATTCTCTTACTCTGTTATCACATATGTATGTAGTGGAGTCAACATCAATAAATAGAACATTGGGGGTGTAGTAAAGTATCAGATCATAAAAAGATAATTTAAAAAATAATGAGATGATATAAGGCAAAACAGAAACAGACGGCACAGGGCATTTTAGATAATTTATTTGCCTATACCAGACTTCCTGTCAATCTGGATTATCAAGCATACTGAAACAGGGATTACGGAACTATTTATAACCTTACTGGTTGAAAGGGCGCGTGAGATATTAATTATTTAAGTCAAAAATGGTATTTTTCAAGAGGGATCGAGACTTTTTTGATGAGATTTTCAACCAGAGCGTAGCTCAGCAGGGGGTATATGGGGATTCGGGATATGTTCATTGTTCACCATAGATTGAAAATACGCCACCCAGGGCAAAATAACTTTCAACTGCATAATTTGGATTCTACTCAACATTAAATTAAGCGTAAGAAACAACATTTTGTTCCAAATCCAAGGTTTAATGGTCACAAGTGGTATTTGAAATAATGTATTTTCATGTAAATAGCTTGCCTAAACAAAATGCAACAAGATCCTTACAAAAGTAACTTTGGCTCAAAACCTAATGTACATTAATTTCAATTCAATTAATTCAATTTCAATTCAATTAATTCAATTTCAATTCAATTAATTCAATTTCAATTCAATTAATTCAATTTCAATTCAATTAATGCATTATGTGTATTTAGCTAATCATTAAGAAAAACTGAAAATGATTTTTTACAAGACGATTTTGTTTGAAGTATTCAACAGTTGTACTAGTCTCGGATAGAGTATCTGGGAACTTGATACACCTGAGGCTCACACATCTTATTCCCCGTGGAATTCTGAGTTTAATCTCCAAGTTTAATCATCCGAGTATAACCCGTCCCCGTCATTCCACTAAAATAAAGTAAAATAAAAGACGAGCGATAACTGGAAAATTCAGTTGTGCAAAGTGTCCTTTATTTTCACAAATTAAAAAGGAACACCTTATTTTAATGAGTTTTAACGGAATCTAAGCAGAATGTACTTAGAAATATTCCGTAGACTTGGCTTGCATTTCCAGATGGACGTTTGTATGCAAACCTGAAATTAAATTCAATCAATGACATCCCAACAATTTTACGGCCTTTGAAGGGTTTGCTAAGTATATATATACACTTGACTGATTCTGCAGTTTTATGTCAGATTTATTGGCTTAATCTTTTACCTTTCTCAACAATATTATCATATCGCCTACTTAATGTGACCTGTACCTGCTTGATCTTATACAGTACCCCAGGCAGAGAATTATTTTATTACTTAGGATTACAGCCTGGGAACATACTTGACTCAGAGACACATTTATTCTAGTGTTTAACACTCCTTCACATCTAATCTATGACAGTAAAAAGTTTGATTATTAAAGCTTAAACCCCTCCTTGCCAGTATTAACTCTCCCAGAGGGGGTTGCACACAAGAATTTACATTAGGAAAATGAACACACCAATTAAAATAGACACAGCAGTTATTAAATTGTTCACCAATCATCAACGAATGAGACCGGACCGACTTTGAATTTTGGCCAGGCCTCGACATCATGGTTTAACTTTTCCGACAATTAATTATTTTTTAGTCCCGAAAAACACAAGTCTATAGCTTCATGTTTGTAGAAGCTATTTGCAAAATCAGCTGGTCGATTTTTGTGTCAGAATATGAATCTTTCTGTTGACAGTGTTGCCTAATAAACCAAAAAATGTCTTTTGATAAAGTTAAACAATTTTAAGGCCGATAAAATAGATATTTGTATATTATATGTGTTGATACTGTGTAGGCAATGCGCTTTCCCCTTTATCTATCTATCTTGATTCTTAATTAGAATAATAATAAAATAATGTTTTAAATTGAGAGATAATGTGTCACATCTTAAATATCTCAGCATGAGATGGAATTTATAAGAAGAGAAGGGAAAACTAGGATTGTATTATTCTAGTCGTTGAGAAGGGGGGGATAAGAGGGGGGTTTGGGTATGTTGAAACAAACACTTACTTTCTAACAATACAAGTTATTTTATGATTTATTATCTAAATACTTAGTAAATCTGATGTTAATGGCTCCAGCTAATGAGAGAGTTTAAAAATATTTAAATTTAAAGGACAGGTTAATGTTACAATTGAAAGTATACAATGTATTGTACACAAACAATACATTTAAGATGAGAGAGAAACATTTTTTCGTTCTCATTTATTTACGGCCTTTACCTCTCGTGCTTTTAGAAAATATTGATAATTATACATTACCTTTACAATAATTTGTTTCATATTAACATGCTACTTTGCAGTTTCATCAAAAATACTGATAGATAATAAAAATATTGATATGCAATATTAGGACTAAGACTAAAAATTTTCAATAAAGCTGAAAAAAACTAAATGAAGATTTTACAAATCCAAATAAAACGCTTTGATGTCGTTCAAGTTGAAATGCCGAAACTTAATATTTTCATCTGTGCAAAACCAGCACAGTATACACTTTTACATCAGAGTCAGAATATAATTAGATTTCTTTAGTTTCACGAAATTTATAGGATGTATTTTACACACGTTAAACTAGAGTAAATTGGACATGAGATTGAAATCTAACATGTTTTCAACCATAGCTCCTCCTATTAATGAGCTAATGAAAAAACGTAAATGTTTTGAATTTCTAATATGCAACTGGATAAATTAGCTTTTTTCTCATATTTATGCGTAAAATCAAACTAGGGTAGCTTCGAGGTCACAAATTCGCACCAGCCTCGGATTTAGCCTTTATTTCTGTTTAGTTTTCAGTGATCAGAGTCTAGATATCATTCAGAGTCTAGATATGATTAGATTTCGTTAGTCCACGAGATTCATAGGATGTATGGAACATTTAAAGATTTTTGTGTAATACCACGAACTCAACTATCTCCGTAGGGATAAAAAAATATTTTCTGCCGTGCACTATCTATCTATCCATCCATCAGAGCCTCAATAGATCTATCCTTCATTCTATCAATTTAGTTTTCTATTTATCAAAATATGTCGTCTTATGGCTTATAAATACATAAATACAAACATCTACATTTATCTGGTGTTAAATTTCAACATTTTACAAAGTCTGCTCCGTGGGAACCAATTAGAAAAGTTGCAGGATCAAAACAAGCCTTTCCCTTCCCAACTTTAATTCAAGGCCAAGATAAAGTAACTAACTGACTTACACTTATAAACGAGAAGAATGTTTGTCAATTAAATTGAAAACTATAAAACAGCGTGAGAATTTTTAATTTATTCTCAGTACTTATTATTTACAACTAATTTACAGGCAAGTTACTTTATCAAGGGTTCCAAATTTTGCCTACAAAACATCCAAATTGGTTGTGACAATCCCTGGTTAAGTAAAATTTTAAATTTCCCAAAAAGTAGTTGTACACAATAAAATTGTCGTCGTTTGAGATGAAAATGAGCGAATCATTTCACGAAAACTTCGCAAAACGGGTCGTTATTTTACTTAATTGTCCCAAGGGACTTAAAGTAAAGTAACTTCCCTCTGTTGGTGGAATCATGGGTCGGTAATGTTGGTAAAAAGGCGGTAAAACTATAATTTTAGGTTAATCAAAAACAAATTATTGAATGGAATTAATTAAGAATCAAAATAAAGTAACGAAATATTTAAATGAAGATACCTGATCTTTGCCAAGCATGTCGGGAAGGAAGGGGGGGGGGGGGTAGTAAGGCATGACATCGGTTTGAAGGGGAATGATAGTAAAAGAGGGGTGGGCCAAAGAGAGGGGGACAATTTAAAATGACCGCAACGGAAATTCTGACTAGAAAAAAAAGATATTGTTTATGCAAATATACTTTGAGTATCTCTGTATTATATCTTTTAACCTAAATAATAAAACTATGTATGTGTCCCGGAGTCCCTGTTAATAAATTATAAACTTGTCCATGTGTGAATACATTCTACGCCCCACCCCCCAGTGGGGTTATAAGGGGGGGGGAGGCATAAACCTCTTGTTCCACGTGTTCAAGTGACATCAAGTCAAATAAGTTTTTTTTTGAGAGTTTCCAAGTCGTAGAAATGTTGCGTTATAAAATTTCTGAAATTCGACGAAAAAATATCCGTGATTAATGGTCGATTGTATCTATTTAACAAATCCATTGTAATTTCTTGTAAAAAAGCTATAAACTTTAACTATACGTTTTTTTGCAATCTTTTGTAACCTATGTACACTATGCACTATGACCTCTTGAATGTACGCAATATCGGGGATTTACAGGATCCATTCAAGGATATAAATATATTGGAACAGGAAAAGTAATTATAAATTGAAAATATTATAAAACCAAAGAGAATAGAATATATATTAGAGTGGAATTTAATAGAAAAAAGTGTAAAATGGCCATTTTATTGTACTGTTTCCATACTGCAGGTGTACTTCACATATTTTCGCTATATAACCTTTTGGGCCCTGGAACATCATTTTATAGAAAATCTAAAATTAATATTAAAAGAAAACCAAATTATGAAATAGGCTGGTTTTTAATTGACCAATGATCATTTCACATAGACTCTATGCCTTTCACTTTACAAACGATGATATCCCGTTCTAACTATAAATCAAATGATGTTTTTTATTCACCTAATTAATTTTATAAAGCTTTAAAAAATACGAAATTGAAATGGGTAGTGTAGGGAACATACTGTATTAATGTACTCTGCTGGCACTGCATATAATTTGTGAACATTTACATGATTTGTACACTTTGAACTCCCTTTCAGACTGAAAGGGACTGAAAAAATTCATACCGAGGGATTGTCTAAATTCCACTCTTATATATATTCTATTCTCTTTGTATAAATCAATGCAAGCTACAAGCAGGCCCGTAGCCTGGGGGGTTGCAAGGGTTCATGTGCCCCCCCCACCATCCCTTTTATATAAGTTGCTTGGTATAAATATACTCTTCTCTTGAAAACTTGAAATATTAGTATTTAAAGTTTTCAAAAATTGTTATCATTCTGTAAAGTGTATTTAGCGTCCGAAACAATTGTTTACCAAAGCTGTTCCCTCTGACCAACCAAATCAAACCTTTTTTGGAAATATTTGTCCTGAGGTAAGATTTTCCCATCGAACAGGTTTGTTGTTCTTTTGCATATGTCGATATACATATCATACAACATAACAAATATGTTCCAGTATTTATCAAAAATTCAATTTCTTAAATTTTGTAGAAACTAATTGCTTCAGTTTCAGTTTCTCCAGACAATTCAAAATCGATGAGCGTGAGTAGTAATATCAAAATCAGCAACATTTTCTGTCATCCAAGTTGTAAAATTTGAGATAAAAACTAAATCATGAAAATTTTCTGTGTACCATGTCCAAACAAAACATCCGATTCAGGGAAAAAAGAATCTTACCGTAACAAGGAGGGGGCGATAAGGTTTCCGTACACTTTGCTGTGACGTTTTTGGACTACTACTAGTTCTTCAGTAGTCCAAAAACGTCACAGCAAAGTGTACGGAAACCCTATCGCCCCCTCCTTGTGTTCAATTCTCCTTGATTTTCATATTCTCATATTCTCTATAACCCCACGTACTTCACGCTCTGAGATGATTTCTTGTTGAGAGACAACCAGAGTCAGAAAAGAGAAATGATATTTCAGAAAAAAAGATAATTATCAGGGATGACAACGGGGACACCCAAACAGCAAAGTTCGAGTTAAAAAAAATTAGCCAGGTCTATATGTATAAATATTTACAGTTATAACCAAAAAACTCTGAAATAGGAAGACGACTTTTAAACTCAACTTAGGACTAAAACTATGATGTATGATAAAAAAATGGAGAGAGGACGGATTCAAAAGATTCGTTGTAAGACGGATTAGAAAGAATCAAGATAGTACGAATTAGAAAGATTGGTAGGATGGATTAGAAAGATTTATTCAATGAAAAATTAAAAAATGTATCAGGACGGAATACAGATTTATGATAGGACGAATTGGAAAGATTAATGGAAGGACGGATTTAAAAGACGGGTGTAAAGTTGTTATATGATTATGGTAGAACGGATTAGGAAGGTTTGTGGTAGGCTGTAAAGGCGGGAAAATGAATATGATAGAACGCATCATAAATACTTCTGGTAGGACGGATTTAAAGGTGAAATAATGAATAAGGTGGAACGAATTAGCAAGGATTGTAGTAGGAAGGATGTAAAGGTAGGATAATTGAAAAGAAAATTAATTAGAAAGACTTATGGTAGGACGGATGTAAAGGTGGAATAATGAATATGGTAGAATAAATTAGACATACGTCTGGTAGGACGGATGTAAATGTGTGATAATGGACATGGTAAGACGTATGAGAAATACGTCTGGTAGGACGGATGTAAATGTGTGATAATGGACTTGGTAAGATGTATGAAAAATACGTATGCGAAATACTTCTGGTAGAACGGATGTAAATGTGTGATAATGGACATGGTAAGACGTATGAGAAATACGCCTGGTAGGACGGATGTAAATGTGTGATTATGGACTTGGTAAGACGTATGAGAAATACGCCTGGTAGGACGGATGTAAATGTGTGATTATGGACTTGGTAAGACGTATGAGAAATACGCCTGGTAGGACGGATGTAAATGTGTGATAATGAACTTGGTAAGACGTATGAAAAAAACTTCTGGTAGGACGGATGTAAATGTGGTAAAATGATCACTTCAGAATGGATTAGAAAGACTTATTGTAGGGCAGATCGTAAAGGTGGGATAATGGACATGGTAGAACGGATTTAGAAAGACTCCTGTTAGGACGAGTGTATAAAGATAGAGGCCAGATAAAATGGCGTATTAAAGGAAATTACTTTGAAGAAAAAGAAACATGGTCGGTGAATTATATCAAGAATTTCGTCCTGATTTTGTATTTTTGAATAAAACCAAAACTGTCGAAGTCTGAACAAAATTCTTCGGTAATAAAGACAAGAAAGGCAGACCAAAAACTTTTTTTTGCTAGCAAATAAAGGAATTGAGTTTTTGCCACTCAAGTTTTCTAATCCCCATAGCTGTCCAACCTGATTGTGTAAACATCAGGTTGCAAAGATATAGAAATGTGAAAATCAGAGTTTGTGGCAAGCACTCATTTCCGTCTGATACATTTTTAGAAAGTAGATATTTATTCTTTATTCATTAAAATAAAATGTTTACAATATTTAATCTAAACGTTATCATGCTACTAAATTTGATATTATTATTTTGATATAATTGATTAAAGAACTTTTTTCATGTAAAGAATTTGCAGTTTTGCATTCTTCAGAAACAAACATTAATTCTTTGAGATGGAAAGGTGCTTTAATCTATATGCTTAAGTATAGAAATAAAGCTGTCGTAGAGAAGGTTGCGTTATTCTTCTCCGTGTCTAAAAATATCCTGGGATTAATTTTACTAACCCTCAGAAGTATTTTATAATGACCCGAGTCAATTGCACAACTGTGCATTTGGAATTATTCGTTTTGGGACGGATATAGAGGCAAACTTCTCCCTTCCCACTTTCAATGTTTTGAACTTATTACTCTTCCAGATACCGGGACGTGTGATATCTTCGGTTTCACACTCGAAGTAGGACAGGGTTGACTTTAGAGGTCCATTGTTCCATCCACCAATAATCCACGGTTGTCCAGCTAAAGATAATTAATCATATCAATGAATTGTTTGTTATAGATTTTTTTTAATGATGAGAAAAATCATATTTAATGAAATAAAGATCTAATTGAAATCTACCTGTTGTTGACATACCATGGTAATGACGACCTCCGTCAAAATTCTATAGAATATATTACACTATTATTGTATCTGTTTTTTTCCGGTAAAATACCCAGAAATATAATATACACTTAATGTTTAATGTAGATTAATGGTCAAACAAAACCAAAATTAGTCGAAAAGGAATTGAGTCTTTGCCACAAACAAGGATAAGAAAATTTGAGTTTGTGACAAAAACTCAATTCTTTTTCCTTTAAAAAAGGAACTTTCCAATTGTTTTCTTCTCAAATTCAATAGTTAAATGACTTTGTATGGAACATTAAGTGATTTTCTCGAGTTAAAGTTACATTCTTGTGCAATGTTATTAATATTTTTAATTTAAAAATACTATATTTTTTTACGTGGCTAGTGTTTCAACCTTAGACAAATCATTGAGTCTGATCCATGGATTAGCAGTTCCAGATTGGTTGAGAGCAATAGTTAGATCTAGGAACCAAACAGTATTAAGCCAAGCTCCTGATGATCTATAACCACCAGTTATCAGAATTCCGTCATTCCATCCTTTCATCCTATACAGTAAAAAAATGCCTAATGTTGAATAATATTATGAGAAAAAGTGGTTGATTTTAATTCTTGTAATTTATAAAGGAATTGAGAATTTGCAACAAACTCAAATGTTCTTATCCTTATAGTTTTGCTAAAAGGCTTCACAACCTATGATACGTTAAAATTAGATTATTTGATATAACAAAATTTAAATATCTGCATGAAGTCTACAATATTGGGTTGCAAAACTATAGGAATTAGAAAATCATATTTTTTTTTGCAAATCCTTTACCTGTAATGCATGCAGGCCATATCAGCTCTTCCAGGACTCACACCTTCAATATCAACAGGAAGGTTTAAACTAAAAATAACACAAGAATAAAGACACTTAAATTTGACAACTATGACTGTTCCAAAATATTAAGAAAAAATTTAAAAAGCATTAGTTTAAAAAACAATTACTGAAATATTTTCTTATATTGAATAAAAATATTGAAGAAAAATATTAGTTTAAAAACAATTACTGAAATATTTTCTTCGAAAAAAAGACAGAAGACATAGAATTCTGTGTCTTTAAAGATATATTATACTTTAAGGTTGCATATTTCAGGCTCATGTTTTCTATGTACACCGTATGCCTAGGGTGAGTTAAATATGTACAATGCATATTTTTAATAACTAAAGTTTAAAATATGAATGACAGATTTATAGCCACGAGCAATATTTTGATAGATTAATATTCATCCAATTGATTCAATTATACCTACATTAAATAGATTTTCCCTGAGATAATCTAAGTTTTAAAAAACCTGAAACTAGAATCCTTAGAAAGAACTCCATCTACAACATCGAACTTCAGGACATCTGGCAGAAAATTAATTTTGTCATCCCAACCACCGAGTAAATAGATCATATCCTAAATTAGTCGATATCAGAAATAATCCTGACATATGTTTTTTCCTAGTATATTGATACATTTATAATTGTAAAAGTACTCGGTCAAATATTAAAAAATCTTCCGGATAACATATTTATTGTTTAATATTAAAGGGACTGTAAGCGTAATTTTAAATAACCTTTCATGCAATGAGGGCATTTCTAGATTCGCAACGGTGCCCTTTTAACCTTTGACTGATCATCGATCGAAGACAAAGATCTCTGTGTATTTATCTATTAAATGTTTTGTAAAAAGCCGTGGAATAAGCGTTTTAAAAATTGAATGAAAATAATTATATTCTGCCACTTCTCAGAAAAATAATATTAATAGTCCAATGGCATATTTCCTAGAGTAACCAATTTCCAATTGGCATTTTCCCAAATGCCTTATTTTCAATTATTACTTGAAAAAATGCCTTTAAAAATGCACTTTTATTTACGTTCTTAAAGGAATTGAGTTCTTGCAACAAACTCTGATTTTCTAATCTCTATATCTTTGTAACCCAATGCCGTAGACCTTAGATATTTCCAACTATAAATTCTTATAGATCAAACAATCTAAGTTTGATATATCAAAAGTTTTCACCATCAGAAGATTTGAGTTTGTGGCAAAACCTCAATTCCTTTATTGAAAATGTGAAATGCTTGTATAGCATGACACTACATATTAATATAACTAATATATTTGTTCTTTTGATTTTTCATTCTTCCCTTTTGTCATCTTTATGTCTCATAATTTACAAACTAATCATCACATCAAAGAAATTGAAAGTTAATTTTATGTTAAAGTGATACAGATGAATAATAGAGTTTTGGTCAAAACTAGATTATTAATAATGATAAGACTGTTTCTGTTCGCTTTTTAATCTCTAAAAGTAGTTTCATTATTCATCAGAGTACCTTTTGGTTCATCCGCACATGTACCGCGCAGGTATGGGATCTGAAAGTGAAGACAAAGTAAAACATTGCTCGACTCTCTTGACTGAATCGGATATTTAATTACGAAACTACGAAACCTGAACAATGCATTTTTATTAGTTGTGAAAGAATAAAAGTATCAAGCAAATAAATTCTAACAAATAAATGAGTTGAGTTTTTGCCACAAACTCAAATTTTCTAATCTCTATATCTTTGTAACCCAATGTCGTAGACCTTAGATATTTCAAACTATTAATACTTATAGATAATACAATTTAAGTTTGAAATATCAAAGGTTTGCACCATCAGGTTGCAAAGATATTGGGATTAGAAGATTTGAGTTTGTGGCAAAAAATCAATTCCTTTCAACAATTATATACATAGATTAAAGTAAACAACCTGTATTTATCTATAGCTGTAAGAATACTAAGTGACGAAACAGGTTCGTATTCAGGATTTTAGCCAAAGGAGGGGAGGGGAGATACAGAACATTTTTTTGGCCCCCACCCTTACAGTTCAGTTGCTCTTTCCGTTCTTTAAAGGGACTGTAAAGGAAAAATGAAAGGGGGTATAGGCTAAAAGCTAATCACTTTAGCTCTCAATCGCGACCAATTAAAGTTATATCTGATGTTCCTATCTCGAGAAATTGATTTACAACTTTGTCAAATTTATACGAAAATTAATATATATATACAATTTTGTATAAAAGTAGTGGGTTTAAAAAGATCAAATTCAGCAAATATGCAACCAATCAGAAAACGATGATATCCCAGAGAAACCTAATTGTAACTTAGGTTTACTCCAATTCCAATTTTATATTTGTTATTTCTATTTTTCATAGATTTAATTCATAATATTATTTATACGTCCGTATTGCTTGACCAGAAATTCCACCAATGGCAGTGCAGTAAAGTGGTCACGTGATACAGGCGGAGACATGTGACCTGAGCTGAAAACTTTTGTGTTGGATATCCTTAATTCCGATCGGTTAACTCTTCTGGAGTTTAAATTCATGTGGAGAACATGCAATATTTAAACTGGATATTAAGAAAAAGAGTGGGATATCTGGATATTTCATTCTAAAGTTTTCAGCTCAGTATACTGATCTGCCATTGGTGATAGTTCTGGTCAAGTGATTTAAGTCTAAGATTTTCTAAATTTTACATATATGAACTTTCGTAAAATTTTAACACAGTTTTATATCAATTTCTCGAGACAGGAACATCAGATAAAACTTTCATGGGTCACGATCAAGAGCTAAAGTGATTAGCTTTCAGCCTATACCCCCTTTCATTTTTCCTTTACAGTCCCTTTAAAGTCTGTGAGGCCCTATTAAAGACTGAATATTGTAATGTATTCCTGTTTATAGATATCAGCAGAATATGAAATCGTCCATTGTGTATATATTATACCTTGGTGAGGGTAAAGTAATGGTTGAAGCAGACCAGGTAGTTCCATCATACTCTTCAATATCATTCAGCATTCCAGTAACAGTGTTGTACCCTGCAGATTAAAAAATCTGTAATTTCTTTTAACGAATTTGAAATAATTCATGAAAACTAATGCCCATACTTTTTAGTCCAAGGAAAAATTGAGCTACTGAAATAGAATCATAATTGAAAATATTTTCGTATCTACATATTTACCTCCGAATGCAAATGCTTTTGTGCCTACAGCAGCCATAGAGAAAAATCCTCTTTCTTTCAGTAAGTTTACCACTTCAGTAGGATTCTCTCCAAAATCAAAACCTTTCAAAAATGTCACGGTCACTTAGTTATCCCTTTATCTATAATGGACTCTAGGAATGGGTAGAATAATCACAAATTATCAAAAATAATATTGAAGATATATCTTCAGCAGACGACTATGATAATGTTTAGGTATTTGGTCTATTTTATTATTTCAAAGATAAAGTTATACAATCAAATTTTGTCAAACGTTTCTAAAACTATAAAAGGAGAAGTTAAATGCTTAAACAATGTTGAAAATACTTTTTAAAGTTACTAAACCTGTACTTCTCCCAATTCCGCATTTTTTCATATATTTATTCGCAGAATTCCAACCTCCGCATACAATAACGTGATCTAAACAAAAGTTTGTTATTTTTTATCATTTTTAAACCTAAATATACCCAACCTTTAGTAGGGTCATTGATATCATGGATAAATACTCCTGCTGCACCTTCCATCTCGTCTACTGGAAAACTGTTGCAAATGGTTCCAGATTCATCAAGAATTTCCCCCGTTTTTTCAAACTACAATATTTGAAAAAAAATATTTTTGTCTTACTAGTGTTTCTTTTACTTTTAGATTACCTCAATCACTTAACATGCCTCGAAGGTCCTTTTACATGTTTTATCTTTCAACTTTATAAATTTTGTGATTTTCATTAAACTAATTCTATATATAAATTTGGCTTGTCTGTCTGTTTGTCTGTTTGTCTGTTTGTTTGTTTGTATCCAATAAACGTCAAAACGGCTGAACCGATCGGGCCCAAATTAATGATCAAAAGGGGAATGTCCACATTCAAATACAAAGGGTGGGGTGGGGGGGGCTTTCTGACTTCGTTTTTAGAGATTTCTCTCTGATTTTTTGCATGCAGGCCTGAATTGTGATCTAGTTTTTGAATCAAACACCAAAGTGGGGAAAAAATAATTTTCCCCCTCATTTTTCCCGCATTTTTTGGCATTTTTTCAAAAACTTTGTGATAGGTCCATGTGTGGTGTCTAAAGTCATTAATATTAGGTCGGGAAACTCAATTTGTTTTTAAAAGTTTTTATTTTTGAAAAATTTTGAAAATGCGCAAAAAAATATTATGAAATCCGCAAACTTTTTTTGGTTCAGAGATAAAGCCACAATTAAAAGTTGAAATAGAAGATGGGCGCGAAGCGCCCTAAAAGCCGAGTTCTATATATCTCAATAAGATTGAACATTTTGCAAACAAATATTTTATTTATATTAGTATTGTGTCTGCACACTCGATTCCAATCTAGACATACGGAAAAGTTTAAATTTTCTGCTTTTGGACTTTGTAGAGCAGTTATCATTGAAATAAATAAAAATTTCTGTTTTTAGTTAATTTTAATTTAAATTAATTTTTATTTGCTTTATTATTACTTTCTTCCAACCTAGAATACCTCTCTCTTTAAAGTAAATATTTGACCTGTGTATTGGAAACCTTTCCCCCCAATACTAGTGTGTGCCAGCTCTCTGACCTATCTTCAATCAATCGTTGTCCAGTGGTACAAGCCTACATAAGAATTGAGAATTTGTCAAGACTGTTTCTTTTGTGGCTGTTGATTAAAATATTCACTTTATAATGATAAATATAGATATTTTGTTAAAGGCTATTTGGTTTTCAAAAAAAGTGTTTTTGTAGTAACTTTTTCATTTTGCATTATTTTGAAAATTAGTTTAGACCTTCAAATTGCATCAATCAATAATAATGACAGCTGATAGTGTGGACATTCATTTTAATTGAAAAACTTCATTTTATGTCTATGATCATGTGAAAATTACACTTTGAACAAAAATGTTTAAAAAACCAGACTGTACATAGCAGGTGTAATCTTACAAACGTTTTACTCTTTAAATTTTCTAATTTTAACTGCAGTTTTTACTAGCACACTTAAAATCATGAATTTTATGAGTTTAAAATAATAATAATTCATTCTTCTTTCATGAATCCTATTTAAAAAAATTTGCGAATAGCTATACTGCAATATAAAAAAGTATTAAGTCTTTAACCACAAATCCCAATTTTCAAATCCCTTTATCTCTACAACCAGATGATGTAAACCTTTGATATTGTGTTGTAAAGAAATAGGGATAAAAAATCAGAATTTGTGGGAAAGACGTATTTCCTTTATTTTGCGATAATCTAAGTCACTGGGATAAAAAATAAGACAATGTTTAATATATCATTCATATTTTTGAAAACCAAAGGGAATTACAAAATCCCCATAATTCTATAAAATATCTATATTCTGTTTTTTTTGTACCTTTCCACAGTTTTGATCAAACACTGAGCATTTTCTATGAAGGACGCAAACATTTTCTATTCTCTGGCAAGTATTGCCAAGATTAAACCCAACCAAGGAGCAGTTCTTTAATTTATCCGGACTAGAGAAGCGATATTTATGTTTAAACGTAGCAACCAGTATTTGTTTTTCATAGACTCATATTTTTTTAACGAATAATAAAAAATGGTCTTAAAAACGTTTAATCAGATATCTTTACTTTCCTGTAGAGAGTATAAAACTGACATTCTGGACTCATCTCACACTCACTAAACAAGAAACAGTTCCAGTGTTAAGATACATTGAGATTCTTAATATTAATCTCTATTTTATACTTTAAACCTGAGACACTCCTCTTGAGTGTATTTATTCTGAACTACACGAATAATATTCTTATTTTCTTTTGGTTTTATCTTGTTCACTAAATCCAGAGGGCGTTCATTCCTAGCATTAAAATGTAATAGAGTAAATTTGTTGATTCAGAAATGTGAGAATAATATTATCCTTACAAATATACATTAGAGTTTGAAACGAATATTTCTTCAGCGGTATTTTAACCAAATGTAATTTTTTCATGTACTTGCATCAGATTTTTCATGTACTTGCATCAGATTTTTCATGTACTTGCATCAGATTTTTTTCTCAGTAACTTGCTTAAAATGTTAGGATGCAGATAATGGAAACCAATGAAAAAGTTTTGATGTTATAATGGAAGATTTTATTGAATGAAATATTTTTCCTTCTAGCCTGGTGGCTTTTTTAAGTCTTTCTTATCATTAAGATCCTGTAAGATCTAATTATGTTGAGAGTTTTTCTTGTTTTGTAAGTTAAGAAATCTTTGTTTACAGTGATAACCAGAAAATTCCGGAATAGGAGGACGACTTTTAGACTCAAGTTATGACTTTAAACAGTCCAATAAACATAAGAAACAGTAATTGTGAAATGTAAACAGATTCACTAGTAAGACTATTTGACAAAGCAAATACACTCAAGTATTGATTTAATGTCGTCTTTCTATTCCACAGTTTTCTGGTTCTCACTGTATTGTAATTAAAGGAAGCAAACACTCGCTGCAAGCTAAAATTTTCTTGTCAACCTCAATAGTATTATGTCATTTTAAGCTTAGACTTTTTTAAATAACAGAGTTCAAAGTTTGAAATATCTAGGTTGCAAAGATCTAGAAAATATAATTATTTAAGCTGGTATTTAAGCTGGTATTTAAGCTGGTATTTAAGCTGGTATTTAAGCTGGTATTTAAGTTGGTATTTAAGCTGGTATTTAAATGTAATTTTAATACTTACAAATCCAAACATTCACCATATTGTTTCCAACATTTTGGTAGTTCAGTGTTTAGAGCACCTTCTATACATTGCTGAATTAAACCTGAAGTAACAAGTAACAAGTAAATAAAATTATTTCTAAATTCTTCTTCTTATTTCGTCTTCATGTCCTTATTGAGACATAATCTTGTGTTACTGCAACATATGGATGATTATGAAAAATTTGTAAAATTATCAAGAAGAATAATCAAAATATTAAGAACTGAACTGAAAGCAAAAGAGTAACCGCAAAAATTTATATTAAACAATGTTCCCTAATTGTAATTCTATCTTTAAAAATGGTAAAAGATTAAATTAAAAAGACGACAAAATAAAATCAAATGCAAAGTTAACTATAATAACGACGAGGACCCAAGTCTTTTTTTATTTTTAAAATTTCGGCGATGATGATGGACCAACCCTCTGTACAGGAAAAGAGTAGACTTTAGATTTAGTTCCACATTTAATTGAAAATATGTTTTGGTCTAGGTTAACCCTCGTCAGTTCTAACGATATAATAACCATTAAACTCGATATTAAAAACCACAAGAAAATAAACGAACAAAAAAGATTATTTAAAAAAAATTTAAATGGGCTGTAAAATGGACAAAAGGGAAACGAACTCAGATCATGAGATGGAAAAAAAGATATTTTGAAAATATTCACTTTTTGTAAAGAATGTTTTATGATTATTTTTATTGTGTTTATTTTCGAAATAAATGCAAAATTCGCTTTCGACCACTGCTTGTTCACATATTCTTGCCACAAACTCTGATTTTTAATCCTTTAAGTTTGCTAGCCGATGTCGTAAGACCTTTGATATTACAAACTATAAATTCTGTTAAATGAAATAGTCTAAACTTGAAATAAGAAAAGTTTACATTTACAGGTTGCAAACATAAAGGGATTAGAAAGTTTGAGTTTGTGACATAAATTCAGTTATTTTGTAATATATATTTCAATATTTCCCAATTTCAAAGCATAGATTCTAGCTTGATTTATACAAAATATAAAGATATTTGGCATAACAAAACCTATGATTTAAATACATTTTTACTTTACCTATAAACAGAATGTAAAGGTGTCCTTTGTTTCCCATGCTGAAAGCTTAGAATTCTAAACTGGACTAACTTAGGGCAAATCAGATATGAAACGTGTAGAAAGCCTTTTGTATCCTAGACACACAACCATAACACAAAATAGGAATTGAGTTTTTGCCACAAACTCTGTTTTTCTAACCCCTATATCTTTGCGACCCGATGTTGTAGATCTTAAATGTTTCAAACTATGAACTCTGTTTGATCAAGTAGTCGTAGTTAAAAATATTAAAGGTTTATACCATCGGGTTAAAAAGATATAGGGATTAGAACATTTGAAGGCACAATGTTTGGTTTGAACCTGCATATATTACCCAAATCCATCCCTCTAACCCCATTATTTTCCATCTCATCCTGGCTCACTAGCTTTATGTAGATTTTTTCGAACTCCGCTTTATTGGATTTGAAAATCTAAATAATGTTTAAATATGTATAATGAACCGTTTATTAGAAACATTAATTAGAGAATTTGTTTTTTTTCTGTCTGGCCCCATTTTACTAGTTTCTTCATGAAAAAACAACAACATTCTAATTACGTGCCTATGTTATCAACCGTTCACAGTATACACTACATACTGGAAATTTTCGATACTTCTTTTAAAAACATTAATTCCACAAAAAAAATTCTCTAGAAATACGATGCCAGAAATTTTTCGGGTTAAATGTAGGAACTTTTAATGGTTTAAGCAACAACATTGTGTATTCTAAGTTTTCAGGTTCTGTAGGCCAACATAAGACATTGCCTGGATTGATTGAAAAATAAATTACCTAAAGGAACTGACTTTTTATGACAAAAACCATCGGTTTGTTCTTGTTCTTTCGTAATCTATATCTTTTCCTAAAAAACTTCTTTGAAACTCTTTCTTTCCATTACTTTAAAATACTCAATGATGATATTTTTTGTCTCAAAATAAGCTTTTGAAACAAAAAAAAATAAAAAAAACTATTTTTAATCAATATTTTACTTACTTTTTAGTAAAATATTTACTTACTTTTGCGATCTTTAGCAATAGTCTGAGTATTTGGGGTAAATATTTTAACAAGGGTCAAGTTATTATAACAGATCAAACTGTAAATTAAATACTAAATCTATTCTGTAAAGAGAGTTTTTCTAAAGGAACTTATTTCAAACTTTGACTGTTTATTCTAGCAGTATTCATGGTTTAAATTTTCATTTTATTGCAAAGATATAAGGATTAGAAAATCAAAATTTGTGGCTAGAATTCATTTTAAAAGAACATTTTAGCCAAACTAAATACCCTAGCAGTGGCACATGGCCTATATACATTTTGGGCGGACCAAGGTGAGTACATAATTCTAAAAAGGCTGAAAATATTTATTTTTAAGTAACATACAAAAGCTACATCTATCTTGTAAAATCTTTGTCATATACTATTATACATAATGCTAAGCAGAGGCATACAACGGGAAAACAGAAAGAGAGGCCGAGTTGGAATTTCGAGGCCACAGAGAAAAGGCCAGGTTTAGTTTATCATTGTCTCTTCCCAACCAATGTCCAACTTAATGTTTCAAATTTTTGTGAAGCATTGCATACCTTCTGGCGAAATTAAAAATGTCCCAACAAATTAATGCTGATTTTCTAAAAGCATTAAATCTTCGCCATTGAAAACAGGAAAATTGGCAAATCTTTTCTATTATTTTTGTTTTTTATTAATGTACAAAATAGATTTGTCGACGTATTATATGTTTAAGAATAAAGATAGCTTTAAAATAAAATAAACGAGCTGCAACCTTTAAAGACAGAACAATATATGCATTGCTAAACTAACTTTAAAAAAACACAATAATGATAATGGATGAAATATTTAATAAAACAATAATGATAATGGTTATTTTTCAGAAGAAATGAAAGAAATAATCATAATTTTACCGAATCGCAAAACAGTTCGCCATGTAAATCAAAGTTATAGTTTATTTTTCCTTTTATAAATTTCTAATTCTAATGAATCTTGCGCCTGCAGACAAGATGGCAATTTTTGTCGACGTACAGACAACAGACAACGTTATTCAGAAAAAAAAAGTGATTTAATCTATTATTATTAAATGCAAAACCATGGAAATGTCGGTGAAATTTTTAGCTATACTAACTGTTCTAACAGCAAATATAGTTCTAATAATATGTCTGTGTCTTTTAATTCAAGCCCCTGCTTGCAGGTAAGATATCAAGTGATGTCGGACTAAGGAAATCAGCCATTTTCAAAGTTTTAACATCACTTACGATAAATGAACTTCTAAATCTAAAATCCCTCCCTCAGGTTTAATAATTTTTCAGGTTGAACAAGTGCACAAATTATTTGTCAAAAATTAGTCAATTTATACACGCCCATTAAGATTTTAGTTTTAATTTTTTTCCACCTTTTTGGTGAATTTATGTAATATATGTTTATTTTTGCAATATTGGAATAAATGTTTTATTAGGTGAAAGAAGCGCGTTGAAACCATGTGACATAAGTTCGGGAATGAACCGCAATAAGTGTTAATGTTAACCGTCAGAAATCTATTTCATGAGAATGAAAATAGTGTATGTTACTTACATATCACAACTTTTAAATCGTTTTGAAAAAAAAAATATTTATCTTCTTATAAACCTGAGGAAACAACTCAATGAGATTAGATTTATCCTACATAATCGGTAAAACGTTTACAGGGTATTATGAAGTTAAACGGACATTCCACTCAATAAATGTGTATAAGGCATCTAAAATTATGTCTAGCCCAGAAGTCTTCAGTGTATATAATTATATTTTAAATGATTCTTGATAATGCTTACTTAGATCGCCTTGTGCCGAACCAAGTCAAACACAAATATTAGGAATACAACGCAATTATTTAGTTCATTTTCTAATGCATGTTACATTTTTAAAAATTAAAAAGACACCTTACAAAAATAAAGAAAAATTATGAAAAATTATTTATTAAAATATATAAATGTTCATCTTTTTTTACTTTTTTACTTTAATACTTTAAAATGTTTTCACTTTTACAAAACCTACAATGTAGATAATTGATGTTGTATATAGACACTAGGCATACTTTGGCTGTGATATGCACTTTGATTCTTTGTCTGCTAGTTCTTATTACTGCATCGTTGGATAACATTTCATGGTTAGTCTTATAATACCGTATCTGAATTCTGAATTACTGTAATTTTAAAATATCTTTATTCATTCACAAATGGCAATTATTATTATTAAATATGTTTCTGTTTGAATTGAATACTACCTTTCCTTGAACACGTTTTGTAAAACTTTTTTCTAATCCCTTTATCTTTATAACCGGATGCTGGAAACCTTAAATATTTAAAACTTAGAATATTTGATCTGTCAGAATTAATAATTTGAAATATACAAAGGTCTACAACATCGGGTTACCAAGATATAGGGATTACAAAATCAGAGTTTGTGGCAAAAAACCCATTTTATGGTCAGTATATTATCTCAGTCTAGATTTATTGTTTAAGAATAAAAAGAAATGTTAAAGCGTATTGGCAAGAAATATTTTAGACCTTTGCAAGATAAAATAAGATCTATTTAGGTGGAACACATCCTTTCCAGATACCTTCATGTCAACAACACAAACAAATAGTTTTTTGGACAGGTAATAATGAAAATGAGAACACCACGTTTCCAAATATATGTAAAACTTTTTTGGCTCAGTTTCATTTTCCATAATATTTTTGCCATAATTACATTTACCATAACACATTTGTCATAAGCAACACTTGCCATAAGTCACATTTGCCATAAGTTACACTTGCCATAATGGTTACACTTGCTATAATTACTCTTGCCATAATTAAAATCAAATTTGGTTTGAATTAACAAACATATATTTATATTTTTTTTACAATTACAAATTGAATACAAATTACAAATTGAATTACAGTGTAATTATGGCAAGTGTAACCATTATGGCAAGTGTAACTTATGGCAAGTGTGACTTATGGCAAGTGTAACTTATGGCAAAAGTATTATGTCAAGTGTAATAATGGCAAAAATATTATGGCAAATGAAACTGAGCCCTTTTTTTTATTTTGGTGTACAGTACCAAGTATGGTCTATGTACAGTACCAAGTATGGTCTCTGTACAGTACCAAGTATGGTCTCTGTACAGTACCAAGTATGGTCTATGCTGTACAGTACCAAGTATGGTCTATGCTGTACAGTACCAAGTATGGTTTTATTTTGCTGTACAGTACCAAGTATGGTCTATGCTGTACAGTACCAAGTATGGTCTATGTACAGTACCAAGTATGGTCTATGTACAGTACCAAGTATGGTCTCTGTACAGTACCAAGTATGGTCTCTGTACAGTACCAAGTATGGTCTATGCTGTACAGTACCAAGTATGGTTTTATTTTGCTGTACAGTACCAAGTATGGTCTATGCTGTACAGTACCAAGTATGGTCTATGTACAGTACCAAGTATGGTCTATGTACAGTACCAAGTATGGTCTATGCTGTACAGTACCAAGTATGGTTTTATTTTGCTGTACAGTACCAAGTATGGTTTATGCTGTACAGTACCAAGTATGGTTTATTTTGCTGTACAGTACCAAGTATGGTCTATGGTTATTGGTCACTGATTAGGTTGAAACGACATTCTTAGATTGGAGTGGCGCTATTAATCTATAAAATAAAGCTCTTCGCTCATAGCTAGCCATACGGCTGGACCTAATTGGCTGAAATTTTTTTAGGGAACCCATGGGTAGTGGGTACCCCAGGGGTGACATAGGCTAAAAAATGGGTATCCTGAGGTTTTTTTTTCAAAAATTGATTTTTATTAATCGAAGTGTTTTCATAATTCAACGGGCAAAGCCGGGCACTTCAGCTAGTTTAAAATAAAGTAGTAAGAAAATGTAAAATGTTCAGAACCATCTGGTGTTAAGGAATCTAACTGGTTGAATCTTTAAGGTTACTAGTTACCAATCCTGGCTGTAAAGTAACCATACAACAAGACTTCTTTGTCAAGTTAGGAACCAGAATAGTACCAAAGGTAATTTACCAGAATAGTACCAAAGGTAATTTACCAGAATTTACCAGAATAGTACCAAAGGTAATTTATCTGAATTTACCAGAATAGTACCAAAGGTAGTTTACCTGAATTTACCAGAATAGTACCAAAGGTAATTTACCTGAAAGAATGATTTATGGCTCTGGCTCTTATTTTCAATGTTATGGATTTCAAAACCTTTTCTTAAAGTTTATCGAAACTTTGAAAATGCTCAACAAACAAAAATTTAAGAAATGAGGTTTAAACATCTTTTTATCTTTCTTGTTTTTAAAGTCAGTGTGGAATTTTCTTCTTAATCTTAAAAATGACAACTTCTTAAAGTTTACAGAAACTTACTGAATCACGCTCAACAAACAAAAATTAAGTATATCTTTCCAACAAACCATCAAGAATAAAACATGTAAAAATATGTATTGACTATACAGTTGTTGTCGGATAGCTGCAAGATTCTCAATAATGAACAGATAGACAACGGGATAACCCTCAAATCAAAACCGATAATGCAGAGAAACTCTTTATTTCCTAAAAAATGAAATGGATAATAACATATAAATTATTACAATGTTTTATAATTTTTATAATGAAAAGATTTTTACGATCTATATAATGATATGTAGGTTAAAACCGTCGGGGAGTCCTAAGACGTTTTTTTATATATTAAAACTTCTGAAAAGAATGACAATTAATTATTAACGAAAGTCACTAATTCTTTATATGAAAATATTCTTTGCTTAAGCAATAATAAAAGTGTTTAGACTCCGTTACCGGAGAACAAGGAAAACGGGGCTAAAATTGTTTGGTTTGGTGTCTCCGAGAGGGAATTTTAAGTTAAAGACGACATTACATGGATGGACAGGGAGATCTTATAGTTAATGGTTGACAACAGTATATGCATACATAAAATTTTTTACATAGATATTAGTCTTTTCTACCATTAAGCTAGCTTTTTTCAATTAGACATTCAACAATTATTTGACCCGAAAGTTTTTTTTAAAAGTTAAATTTTTACAGAAAGACAATTTAGAGTTTGAAAGAATAGTTAAGCTTTCTTATTAGAATGATTATTAATGAAAATTATTTGAATGTAGTTATCAGCATCTATGAATATTCATTTATGGTAATTATTCTTGATCAATTAAGACTACATATATATTAAAATAAGAAAAAAGATTATGAAGCATATGAAATATGTATGCTCAGAGCTGGGAACTCTTGTATTGTGGATATCTAGATCTCAATCTCAATCTTTTGTTATTATACAGATTATTTTATCTTTGTTTAATATCCATTGAAGTGCCAATCAGATATCCTGTGAACAGCCAATCAGAAGCCAGGATATTTAGCGTTCAACCAGAGCTGGGAACTCTTGTATTGTGGATATCGAGATGAATGATTGATCTCGATCATTTGTTTAAATTTAATCTTTATGAAAAAAACCGTATGGAAAAAAAATTAAGCAATAATCTTCAAATTAAAAGTGCCTACAGTGGATATCAAGCTCAAGCAATTGGGATTATGAGTAGGCCTGAGAAATTTGCGTTAACAGTGACAACCGTCAATTTGATACATGCCTTATATATCCTGAATTCAAATACTAAGAAACTTTTATTAGATGTTTCAACCATCTAATGAAACATTAGTTGATACTAACATCTAATAAAAGGTTTATGTATTCAGGTTATATTAAGCATACAAAATTAACGGTTGTGACCATTAACGGCAAATTACCCAGTGGATGAATTTAAAGAATTTGAGCGGCGGTTTAAATTTAAGCCGCGGTTTAAATATGGTTGGTTCCCCTTAAAATTGTATCAAATGTTTTAAGATTTAAGCCGGCGCTTAATTTAAACCGGGTTTTGGCGGATTTAAACCGCGGCTCAAATTCTTTAAATTCCATCTCTGGCCTAATAACGAGTACCGAACACAAAAATTCCCAGCTCAGAGAAATTTCAGATATCCAAAATCAAGAAAGCAACAAGATTCTATGTACAATTCAAAAGTGCCCCCCGTATATATCAAGATATAGCGAATCAGGATTATGGGTATCCAGCACTAAAGTTCACAGCTCAGCACTGAATATATACTTAACAAAGTGTTTACCTTCAACATTGATAAATAGAACTAAATAAATATTTATAACATTAGGTTCGATATATTGTGAAAACTTTATAATATGTCGTGCCAAAATAATATTTTTGTAAAAAGTAGGAATCTGGGTTATGGTTTAATTTCAATTAAATTTTTTAGACTCGACGTAAAGCTCATGAAATGTTTAAACCTAATCAATGGTTTGATTCAACCAAATACTCTGTGGTTAAACAGATTAATTCAGGTGTTCTAAAACTCAGGTGAAACTAATATTATTTTTAATTATATTTGTAGGGACAGTTTCAATTTATCCAAAAGTAAAACCTAAAATGTCTAAATTTTTTAATCCTTCAAAATTTTCTTATAGGTACTTAAATCTTTTAAATTCTTTTTATATCACTTTTTCCTTAATTGCTATTATGACAACAAAGGTCGAATATTCCCGATTTATTTTTATTATTCAATAGAAAAATGGATGAACCAAAAAAAAAATGTGAAAACTCTTGAATTTGATTAATTTGCGAGTCTACCCTTTAAATTAAACCTAATTGCCCAGAGCTGAAAACTTTAGAATGGTGGATATCAGGATTAAGGCTTAATCCACTCATTTTCTTAATCTCAAGATTAGATATTGCTTGTTTACCTCATGACTTTAATCTTCAGATTAATTATCCGACGGGAAATCTGGATATTTCATTCTAAAGTTTTCAGCTCATATCGATCATTTGTTGGATGGATCCTATACTTACAATACATTATTTAAAGCCAGGTATGTTTAAAAGGTATACGGTAGATATGGTTTGTATACACCTTTAATAGTGACGTATTTTGGCCGCTAGAACTATTTTTATCAGAACAAATAACAATTTATGAAGACCGCTGTCACGTAAAATAACGCCTAGAGGCTACTGTATTTAGATCTTGATGATCAAGTTTTAAAACATTTTTTTCGATCGTTTCGCATTTTACATATAATTATTACACAATTTTGACATCTGCATGGGGCAGAAGTTAAAATATCTATTTTCCTTAATCTGTCTAGGACGTTATTATTTAAATTACTAAATCTAAAGTCTTATTTATTTATATCTAAACGTTCATTATTCGTCAAATTAAATGTACACCAACCCTTTCCCACGTACCTCTAGTATACAATAAATACCTCGAGTAATATAGTAAACCTTTATAATTTTTCTTTTTCTACTCTGAAGACTTGAGGTGTCCCCTGTTAATAAAGAAGCTAAAGAGGATTTGGACAAATTCATTCAAGAGCTTATCCTTCAGAATAGCTCAGGTAAAAAATGGTCAAAATTTGAAATTTCAAAATTCCACGGGCATTTATATCTTGCATTTTACCGTGTCATTAAGCGATAGATATTGAGTTGCTGCTTGTATCGAGTTTTATCAGAATATTTTTCTTAGTGTTATTTTGATTACCTATACTACTCAAAAGTTGAGTGACTAGAAAATGACTTTTTACGTGAATACTATAAAGTTATTTTTAAAGGAAAGATCTTAGGTGTATTAAAACGCAGATAATTTTGATTCTGAATTGTATTTTGTTTTAGGTGAGTTCGACTGTAAGTTATTAACTGAGCTGAGTATAGAAGCCCGGGTTCCTAAAATTTCTCTTTTCGAAGGCTACAAAATACCTCAGATCCGACTGGAAAACAAACTAGACTCAATTCTCCTTCCATTGAGCTCATCCCTGCACAAAATAATGGTACGTTTTGAAATTGTATGTTCATAATAACAAAGTTTATTAACGTTGAATGTTTTCTTTTAGGGAGAACCAGTTCGAATATTTGTATTTCGTGATACAAGACTTTGGAATATAGTTTGTCCGACACTCTTCAGTCTCAAGAAGATTCTTTTCACACTCATTCTCTTCATTCCTGTTCTAGGCACAATACTTTCCCTTATTCTAGCAGAAAATACAAGGCAACTAAAAGTTCGGTAAATATATAAATCAGTTCTTTTTTATCATTTATTTATCAAATGTCGTCTTGACAATTTTTCAATGAGTTTTATACTAGATTACGTAATTTTCAGTATTTGCGAAAATAAATAAATAGCCATGAATATACGGGAACAGTTTTAAAATGTTCTATATAATCATTTAATTAAAAAACTAAATATCTGCAACATTCCATATCAGAAAGTGAAGAATACGACATTTGATGAATTCTTTCGATGTATTCGTTATTAAGGGTTTCACTGTATAATTCTTCTTATCCTCCATAAAAATAAATTTTTTGGTTTAGGAAAAGATTTAGTCGAAGAAGAAAAGAAGATGAGGATCAAGTTGACAAGGAGAACCTCCTAATACCGTTTGCTCGCAATAAACTCCCCCGTCTCGCTAGATTGTTTAATCACACTCCAGGAAGGATCCCGTTACTCTTTTCAACACAAAAGGTTTTTAATTCAGTGTTTTTAAAACAATGAAAACTAAAACGTTTTAACAAAGAATATCACATTTTGTCTTTTATTTAATAAGCTTTTATTTTTTCGTTTGGAAAGGTTTAAAAATGATATTTTTTTTAAATGTTTTAATATTTTATTGCTGTTTTTAATAGGATGGATATGACGATGTTGAAGATATATCTCCAACATTTAAATCCGATCAAGGTAGAACTTTTAAGATACTTTCTCTAATTTTTATGCTAAAATGTAGACTGTTATAGTTATATAAATGTACTTAATGTAACTTTGGAACATGTAATTGTTAATATCGACGTGCATAGTAATCCTAAATGTCCTTATAGGACCATTAATTTTGATTTTGAAAACGCCGTGCGATTATTATACACATTACATTTCTTTCGCTAAATTGGGTAAGATCCGAGGAAATCTTAATACTAACTTATTTTTGCAAATAAATACAGCATTTCTAACCACGGATTTTTAACGTAGTTGGGTACTTAACATCTTTGTTTTTTTTAAAGGGCGTGACTGGCAATGTATGGTAATTGAATAGAGAATGTAGTATTGTGGAGAATTTTTTTTTAGGATTCATTTGAGACATATAAAACGTTTTAATGATGTATGTATAATTACTGAGTTTGACCGCAAAATCGACGTTCAAAATCATCCATTTGGGTGGTTACATTTTGAGAATCGTGTTTTTAGATTATTAATTATGGCGACATAAAATTTTCAAAATTTCTGCAGTAAACTAATAAGATGTTTAGGAACATATTTACCAATATAAATTTGTCAATAAATCAATTTCTTCATTATATTGAGTTTCTCATTCTTTATGAATTTATTCGCAAATTTCTTCAAATTCTTTAAATGACATCTTTTCAATAAATATTCCAGGAAATCTGCAGAAAATGTTTGTGAACGATGAGATATTATAGAAACCAATAACTTAATAAGATTATAGTTAATAGAGAATAGTTAATTATTATTTTCTCAACCTGTTCCTTAACAACTAATTATTTTACTGTAGAATTTTTACCACATTTTTCGTCGTTGTTATTGAATATTTTTTTAAAAACAGATTCTCAAAATCATCCCTCAAAAATGAACACTCTATGAGGATTGAATTTGCGCTCTTGCTGAAATATGCACCGTCTCAAATGCTTTCTAAAAAATTTCTCAACAATACTACATTCTAAGTTCAGCACCATACATTGCCGGTCACTCCCTTTAAGTGATATTAGGATTGAAATTTGAAAAGAGACGGGGTGAACAGATGTTACGGGCGCTTCCTTTAAATACCGTGTTTTTGTTAAATGTCTTGCAAACCCTAATAAGATTGGAGAAGATTGTTCTTATCGTTAACCCTTTAAAAAAACCATCCAAAAAGAAAACTTAAAAACATTCTTATTTAATACTTGTTCATTTATACTCGTTTCTTATTCTAAATCAGCAACGTTTTACAGATATGAATGAACGCTGCTTCCCTATGGAACCTTGGCAAGATGAAATCAAAATTGCGATACCAAATTTAGATCCTTTTCATGAAGAACCCAAACTAGAACTCACTTTGGACAGTCCTCCCCCATACTCTGGACTGGATAATTCTATCCTACCTGTTCCGCCCAGCTATTCAGATCTATTACATACAGCTATAGATAGAGATAAACTATATACTGCTAGGGAAACTGATAACATTTAAAAAAGGAGATAATATTTCAGTTAAGCTTTCATTTCAAATGTTTAATAAAGTGAATTCTTTTTTTTTAATAATTTCAAAGCGAATAAATATTTCAATAATAAAACACCGGTCTATTTCTACTAAGCTTTCCTGATTACACATAAAGATAAAAATTTAAGTAATTCGAGACTAAAAGGACCATATGTTAACCAAGGTATTGCCCACCCCTGGATTCCTATAACGGTGCGTCTAAGGCACCTTTTTTAAAGTAACAATTTCTCATCTAAAATATTGATTTTAGAGTTTTTTTTTAAATATGTCCGATTAAAATAATTGCAATTTGACAAATATATATATCGATCAACGCCACTCCTCTGCAGTTGACAAAACTTGGAAAGATTGATAATTTATGATATTTGGATGAAAATCTGAAAAGTAATAACCAAACCAGATTTATATTTTAATAATACAAGAAACGCAACAGTAATATAAACTATACTATATACACACAAGAGATCGTATCACGTATGTAACATTTACCTTGTGTTAATGATGCAGTGGCATCACTTATCAGTATTAAATTAGATTTAATTGTTTTTGATTTGTACAAAAACTTACTGGATTTCGAAGAATAAATATCATTCTATAAATTGTTTTTCGTTTTGCTAATCTTTTTTTATTAAGTGAAATTTAAATCGTATTCATCTTAGGTCTTTTTGTTCTTCCATATGCAATTTTATTTCTTTACTTTTCTTGTACTTAGTTTCATCAAATTTGTATCTTCATTGGTTGGGAAAAATGTAAATTTATTTAAAAATCTACACATAGCATAGCCAATGATTACAAATACATTCCATTGACAAGGAAATCTCCATCAGCTTCATGTGTCAGATTTCTCCTAAACAGCAAGAAATTATCATGAATATCTGGCTTTGCCTCTATAGGTTACCTGAAACTGATGCGTCCCCTATGGATTCTGCAGATTACAACAACAAAAATGAATGTTGTTAACATGATACCAACTGTTAAAGTGAATATAGCGATTCCTGGAATCCCAAGTGGAGTTAGCTTATCTCCCAATTCTTTGATTAATTTTTCCTCGTAACTCTCAACCTTAACATTTTTCAAATATATCTTTTTGATTAATTGAATTCATAACATTTATATTCATATAATTGAATTCATTTTAGCAAAGCTAACCTCTGGAAGGTTAGTTGGTGTTGTGCTGTAAATTCTTAATTTCTTCAATGTTGTTGACTTTTCTGTTACGGTTTCCTTTACAGTTGGCATTATGGTGGTTGTCATTTCTTGTTGAAACTGTTGTTGATAATTAAATTGTGAAGGATAGTGGTTATAGAGCCGGAACGGGTTCTGATATTGTGGCAAGTACGGGTATTTAGGAACAGGTATTCCTTGATTCACCCCCTGGAAACCTTGCAGACTATCCTGTCTAGAATTGTAAGAATTAAGTTTAACAAATGCAATAAGTTCTTATAATCTTAAATTAAATAAAACTTATATTAGTTTTATATTTTCTTTATGAAGGATAAAAATTATATCGCGTCAAAAGTTATATTCAGTACAAAATGTTCCAATTAAAAAAATTACCAAGGTCTCTATATCTCAGTCATATTTGATTTTACAAACATTGCAGATCACATTTTGGAATTCCTAGACTTAACTTAGTTCCCATATTTGAACAGTATTTCTTTAAACAATACCTAGCAATCAACATATTTGTAGTTGTTGGAATTGTTGTTGTTTGGGTTTTGCAGAACCCTGGATCCTCGTCACTTCCATCTCTACACTGTGGAATGTTGTTGCATACATCATATATTGCAATACAATCTCCAGAATTGCAGCTAAATTGCCACTGTCCGCAGTCATCTTGAATAATTGGAGACGGTTCAACCTAAATTTTTAAGTAATTTTGCAAACAGATACTTTAAGTTAAGTGTCCCAGAAAACATATGTAATAGGAAATTGAGTCTTTTCCACAAACTCTGATTTTCTATTCCCATATATGTTTGGAACCCAATTTCGTAGACCTTGGATATTTCAAACTATGAATTATGTTGAATTAAATGAACTAAGTTTGAAATATCAAACAGAGGGGTACACCGTCATGCCGTTGCAAAGATATAGGGATTAGAAAATTGTGAAAAGTGATTACTATTTTAAAATTCATGATTACTGCAATAAACATTTTTTTTATATTTCCATCTTCTCCTGATAATATGAATACTGAAAAAATATCAGAAGAAGTCTGACGCAAATACGGGAAAAGCACAATTTTGCGCTAAACTGTCTTTATGCTAAAATTTTTGGCAACATAAGCAATATTTTGCTAATGGAAAAATTATTTCCAAGGTAATATATAAAATAATCACGACAACGTCATCATTTGTTTATTTTATAAAATTAGTCAAGTTGTATTGAACATTTTTAAAAAGTTCTATTTTTCTAAAAAAAAATTCTAAATCTATTTTAATAAACAAAAAACTTATTAATACTTCAGATTTTCTTAGGTTATTTAGATACCTGATCTTGATTGTCTGGTTTGGGGTTCCTCAGTTGTGAAAGTTGGTCAGAATGATCTCTTTGCTTATCTGCTGCACTCAGGTCAAACCTGTGCCGGTCAATTTCAAGTACTGCACTGGAAAAGTCGTCGCTGCCGGTGAACTGACATTTGAAAGCTTCAGGTGACCCACAGTCAAACAAGTAGCAGCTGTTAACCTCTCCAAAGACAGCTACGTTGCAAAGTGGCGTTGAGCAGCAAAGATGCAAACAGCGTGACATGGTCTCCACCTAGAGATATGAAAGTGAATGTTAACGAGAGTAAAAGAATTCAGTTAAAACACTTCTCAACAAAATCAGTATTAAAACAAGTTTTTTGAAAAATATTTCAAAACTCAAATTTTCTCAAAAGACTAATACCAACAAAACTATATATATACCTCAGTTTCGTTAATAAATACAGCTCCATTCTCTCTGCTGTCCTTGGTCCTTATGATAGTACTTGATTCCACAGAGAAGTGGTTTAAACAATGATCGTCACTATAGTGTTTGTTTATTCCTCTTCTTGTTCTACTGCTTCTGCAAAAACAAATCATAAGTTTTCTAGTATTAGAAACAGAAAATTTCTTATCAGGTTTTTATTTGAGAATTAAAATTATATTTTAGAAGAAGGAAACACATTATTTACTCTTTTTTTAACTCTAAAATTAAAATTTGAATAATACAAGAAAACATCAAACATAAAAAATAATTGATAATCTAAATATATATATATATATACTTTGCTTGTCTGTCTGTTTTTTGTTTGTTTGTCTGTTTGTATCCATTAAACGCCAAAACAGCTGAACCGATCGGGCCAAAATTTTTTGTGCAGACCACACATGTTTATTGATGTTCGAATTTTCAAAAATTGGCCTCTAAAAGCCTAGTATTAATATATTTTATTTTAAGTCTATAGATGGTATCTTAAACGCATCTCTGTAAGAACATTTGTTAAGTATTAGCCCAGTGTTTACATTAGATTCAAAGTATTATTGCTTATCATTTTATATACAAGTTACATAAAGTTATATCATTTATTTCAATTAAAGAATAATCAAACAAAAATTAATTCCAACTTTATGTTTTCTTTAAGTGATAAAAGAAAGAATAGTTGAATAAAAAGTAGTTGATACCGTTGTATCCTGTCAAAAAGATCAATCAATTTGCTTATAAACACGTTCCGCATGTTCAGTTTAACTCTCCTTTTAGTGTTCGTAAATCAGAAGTAATATAGTTTTCTCGATTTTTCCGCTTACAAAACAACAGATGCGTAAACACTAAACAGTCCAGTCTGTAAAAGTAGCATATATTGTATATTAACTTTCAGTATTTATTTGTTTTGTTTGCGATGTAAAAATCTCTATAAATAATCTAAAAATTCGTTTGAAATACTCACAAATTTTGTTTCATCTGCTCAGTCGCACAAAGTTTGAGTAACAAACAGAAAATAAGAGAATATCTTGCTACCATCCTGGGCTTACTCAGCTTACAAACTTGACATTATTTCTACTTGGTTTAGGTTGGGTTTGGATCTCCAGACTCGAAAATATTTTGGTTTGGTTTGGTAATGGAGGTAATGATCTCCTTTCTAGACCAGGTAAATAAATCAAATATCTGGAATTAGTTCTTCGCACTCAGAGGCTAAGCTTTTGGGGTATTTTATTTTACCCCCCCCCCC